GCAGAAAGAGAGGAAAGCAAACACATCCTTTGCCTGCAACTAATTGGAGTTATGATTTAACAGCCTGGGCAGTTCGGATTGATTTTTCCAGATGTAAATCTTCCATAATTTTCCTGTGAAAAGATAGTCAACACTCTGGGAAACGTTTTGTTCCACTATGGATTGTAAGAAACCAAAAGTGGAAATTTGAAAATCTGCCAGGGAGGGAGGGACTTCAAAAATTCACTGTATGTCAAACAAATGTGAAAAATATGAGTACTCTTATACATAATTTGAAACATATATATATTAATACACAGATATGCATACTTACATATACACACTACATGTACCTTGTCAAATGTCATACTTACAATCTCCCCAGCACCTCCCTGCTTTGCCTTAGAGCAGAGCCACGTGAAAGCTATTGGGCAGCCCCACTTCACACTGATCAGAGAATAATTATAACCCATCTCCAAATGGTGCTGCTGGTTAGTTTTACCTGGATCTGTCACTGTGTTTTCATTCACCCTCCACACAAAAATTGTTTTGTGATCTGCCAGTTATTTCACAAGGCTTTAGAATGCCCTTTAGATATATTGCGTGGCTGGCATCACTTTGCCCAAAGCAAACATGCACCTCAGGCTTGTGGACTCTATTTCTTTCAGGGTTCTCTAGCTGCCATCACCTATTGATATTATTTGATTTGCAGCTGCTGTTCAAGGCAAACAAACAAAATCTCACAGCTTCTTAAACCTTCTTCCACATAGGCCACTGATATTTACTGGGAGCAAAAGCAACAGGTAAAGCTCTATCACGCTTGTACTCACTTCTCTGTAGAAATAAAAGTAAAGGTCTAGCAAATTATTTCCTTCCAGTTTTTCAGCCTGCCACTCCAATTTTCCTGGGTTTCTCCCTGATATTTCTGATCCTTCCTCCCATGGCCATGAGCATCAGTCGGGGCTGACAAACTCTCAGCAAACACTCAGCAGCATCTTTTCCACGAACACCTCTGCCCAAGAGTGTACAGGTGGCTCAGCTGCTTCCAGACCATCCAGCTACCAACCTGCTTGAAATGAGCTGCAGCCAGCAGATGTTTGAGGTGTCAAACGTGTGGGTCTGCGCTGGGGGCATCCCAGAGCAATGCCCTAAGAACACCTTTCAGGACTCTTGTTTGGCTGGTTGCTGATGGAGCCTCAGTGCCACCTGATGCAACATCAATCAGCACACCAAGAGTGGGCTTCCTGGCTGCTGCTCCCAGAATGTGCTGACACATATATCCCCCTCCAGCTGTGGTCACATCAGTGTTTCCTTTAGCTGAGAGCCAAACCCCATGTCCACAGCAGTGTTTCAGCAGGAAACAACAGTTCAGACTTCCTGCTCATTTTCCCTTGAGTAGTTCTGGATGCTTCTGCCTTTTGCAGGAGGCTCTCTTCTTCCCAGCAAGCCCACAGGCTGCCCCTCATTTCCCACACATCGGCTTTGTGTGAATCTCAATCTCCAGGCATTAACAGCAAGATTCCTTAGGGCTTCAATGGAGACAGGCTTCTCCCCACAGGACTTGCTTTATCATGTCACCAGAGTTACTCAGATGCCATTTTTACTTAGCAGCTGCAACAGGTATTATTATTTGTTTGCTTTTTGTGTCAGAAAAGAGCTACTCAGTGCCTTTTTGCCACAAGTTGCTGCTGCAAAATTGCTATGTTTTTTAAAAAGAAATAAGTTTTTAAGTCTAGTAAAGCACAACATCCTTTTGTTTAAGTAACAGTTCCTTGCCTTTATTGAGGGTGATGGTGTTTGAAGAAGCAGTTCTTAGCAGGAGACTAAAGCACCAGCATTTAATTCCAATAGCTCTGGACTGAGAGCCACAGAATCTCACTGCACAATTTAATTCCTTCCTGAAGGAAATATGAATGGTCATAATGACCAGTTCCCTGAAAAGCCATCATTTGTTTCATAAGCCTTTTTAATACAATTATAGGAATAGAGCTGGATTCAATTAAATTTATAAGTTTCTCTTACGTAAAGAAATTAATATGCCCTTTTAAAGACAACCTAGTCTGCATACCACAGAGTAGCAGTGACTCCATACAAGACATGAATGTGGACTTTTATTCTTCCCTGAAACAGGGGGGATGATTGGTATACTGAGCACTTCATCACTCTACACAAGCTTGACACCTGTACCTGACTTTGTCATGAATTAAAAATGCACAGGAAGGCTTCCTCTGATTAGTGAAGCTGCAGCCACCGTAAGGTACAGGTGGGAATCTCTCAGGTGAACAACCAACAGGGCTCAGCTGTGTCCTCTTGTTGTTTTTAAATAACATTTTTATAACGTAGTCTGATTACAGCGATTCATTTATTTCTGCGGGAAAGCCAGTGGTAATTAACTTGTACCATGGCCTGCAATTTGCATGTTAAAGTTTACAATCATTCTGTCATAGGGCCATAATAAGCACTGCTTAACAAGGAAACCTCAGTAATTGAGGGGTTGTTCTGCTCACGACGTTCTGCAAAACCTGGGTGAGCTTTCACAACGCCATCGACTCCGTGAGCTCCGGTCTGATCTGCACCAGGGAGGGAACAAAATCCGTCAGGCTGACTCCAAGGGAGCTGACAGCGGATCAATTTGCCTTGCTGCCTCCTGGATGACAGCCTCCAAGCATAACTAAACCCAGTCAGAGGTATATTAACACGCTCTGACAGCTAATAGAGGGTAAAATGGGCCTTTAGAGGTGGTGGCTGCTTGAGCCAGGGCTTCATATGTATATTCCTTAGGGAGTGAACACATGGCTCTAGTCCCAAATTCTGCTAAATTTAACAGGTGAACGCCCCTCTCCTTAGAGACCTTGCATGCCTGTCCTGTGTGCTCCTCCAAGTCCCTCCCTGCCCTTTGCCAGTCCCATGTGCAGTGTTCGGCTAATAAGAGAAACAGCATTTTCTGAACAACTGCAAACAAAACTGTGTGAAGGATGAAAAATAATTATCCCTGTGTCAGAGTCTAATATATTTGCATTGTTTAGACAGGGTAGTTAATCACTGGTAAGAACACAACGTGTGGTGCGAATTTGGATTATAACTAATACGTATTGAGCAGAAGGCTATTAATTACATTTAAAGGCACTATTTGATATTATTATGATTATTAGTATTGATAAAGTGAACACAATTAATTATATTACAATGTTTTTGCAGGATTTCTGTGGCAATACTGTACAAAGAGCTGTTGGCTTTCAGACTCCTTTGTCTTTTTTTCAGAAAGGAGATAACTCAGGCAAGCAAAAAGCATCACGAGCCAAGATTCTGTTCCCATTAACACTCCCAAAGCACTGAGTGATATTGAAGGGGGCAGTGAGGGTCTACTTTTTTTTTAAGGGTTTTTAAGTTTGGGTAAACTTTTCATTTGTGTAAAATAGTTGGTCTGCTGAAATGTCACTTCTTCCCTTGGGTTGGAATTAGCAAAGGACAGTCTCCACACGGTCCCCAGAAAGGACTTCTGAGGAAGATAATCAGATTCTAGATTTTTTTAGAGGTGCAATATTTCCAAGTGTTCCCTCTCTAAAATGGCTCTTACCTATAGAAAAGAAAAGCTTAGGGCACTTCTTTTTTATTTAAAAAGGCAATTGTATTAATTCAGCTGAATTTTGCATTGGAATTGCAATGGCTTTGACAGTTTAGTTCCCTGAAAATTGCAATAAAGGCTCTGTTACGCTACATTTTGTCCCCATTCGTCTTGTATACCATTGCCTTGCCTTTGGCACAATCAAAATAATCTTTAAAAATAGTACCATAAATGGATTGACTTTGACCTTCTGAGTATCTTGTCAATAAAATAAAAATGATAAATGTGTTTCAGAGTGCCACTGGCATAATATTAAAGCAGAGTCACAATCTGCAAAGTGACATTTGAAAAATTATGCTGTGGGGAGGGGTCTTATTCTCTGTCAACGCTGTCACATAAATAAACCCTATTTACAATGAAAAGGGGGTTTGCTCACTGCCAGGTTGTGCAGTTCCTGTGACTTGGCCTCTGCCTCTTACATCATCATTAGCAATTAAAGATTACTGCAGCAAGAAATTAGCTGAGCCTTCTGTTGCTGATGCAGAGCAGCTCCACCTCAGTCTCCTCCTGTGACCCTCTAGCACTGCTGACACAGTGAAAACAGGCTTGGCCTCATCAAGAAATGGCTCAGATAACCACAGAAAGGCCCTTTTTTCTACATGATCAGCTCTTTAAACTTCTAAAAGAATTATTGCAAGGCTTCTTTTTATTAGGTGATAAGTAAAGAACCGAATATTCTGTAAAAAATAAAGAGTTGTATGAAAATAAACAGGGCAAGTGAGTAAACAAACACATGCCAAGGGGCAGCAAGTTTGGTTCAGACTTTGAGATGCACACACAGAAGCTCTGATGTATTTGGTTTTATGCTTCAAGTGAGCCTGACCTATGGCTTGAATATTTGCAAGCCTAACTTGAGCTGATTTCTAAAAACCCTGTACTGTTATTTTTACACCATTTATTTTTCCCCTTTTTAGCATTTCTTGTTCTCATTCTTCTAAAAATGTATTTAAAAGTATGTGAAGTGCACTTTTATGCTTAAGCATCAATTTATATAATGATTAAAATGCTCATGCATATAGTAAACTAAATTAAAAATTAAATTAAAATTAAACCCGCATATATTTTCAAAGGTCACAGGGCCTTGGAACCTCAAAACATTACTCATTTTCTGAGGAGAAGTGGCTCTGTTAATCACTAAAGGTAGGCTGAAATCATGTTAAAAGGGTAAGGTTTCTGGTCTCGATTCAGATATGATGAAAATCTAGACAACTAAAACATTTATGTTACCAACCTTACAATTCTATATATTTGATTCTGAATTTGATCTTTTCCTGGCGTTTGCCTTGAAAATTAGCTCAATCCTGAACTGAATCTAAACATAAAAGGACATAGCCCTCTTTAAGCACCTGTTTACAGTACCCAGTTGAATTAACCTGTTTAACACTGCCCTGTCCAGCTCCCGAGTGCTCACCGGACGGACACCGGATCCTCCGCAATCCCCACCGGAGCACCAGGTTTGACTCCCTGGAGCTGCAGAGAACAGCAATTGAGGAGCTGGTGTGTGACCACTCCCTGCCACCAGCATGGTACCGCTTCCTGATCCACGGCAGGCCCGCAGAGATGCCAACCAGGTGCATCGAAGTCAGTAAAACTTGAGCACTAACCCCGGGGAACGTGAATCGACCCTCTGGTGTAGTTTTCCTCTCCTTCCATCTCTATACTCTCATAGCCAGCAGACTGCAGTGAATGAATGGGAGTGGGAAAACCGCTCTAATGATGATAACAGTGATAATAATGACAATGATAACAACAACAACAATACAACAACAAAACCAACAACAGTAGCAGCACTGTCATATCCAAGGGCATTAGTCAGAGACTGGGATCCCTGTGCCCTAAGCAATATTCAAATGGACTAGGCAATATTCAAATATAAAACCAGGTGTTTATCAGCTCTAGAGGGAGATATTTATTAATCCATATATGTCACTGGAAGCTGTACTTTTTTCCAAGCAACTCTGTTGCTTTAAGAATGGATTCTGAGACCTGGCTCTTTCCCCACATAATTTATTGTGAGTTGGGAATATGTTCTTCTCACAAAATCAAAAGGGATAAACTCAGAAAAGGTGATTATTGAAAGAGATCTGTAGTGATACAGAAAGAAAAGCTGAATTTGGGTCTTTTTCTGCTATTAACATTTCTTGCATTCTTTAGTCTTGTTAATATGCTAATGGATTTCTAGAGCCAAAAACCCTCCACCACATAAGATTACTCTCTAAAAGAGACAAACCAATAATTATCTGGGTTTATGTGTGTTTAATATTTATGACAATAACATTTAACTTGCAATCATTGTTGCCAGATCAACTTGAGCCCCCAACTAAAGTCATTGCCACCTCAGACAGCTGAGCTGCAGGAGGTTAGAATAATTTCAAACACATACTTAAACAACATTATCCTGAAAATAATAAACTAATTACCCTAAATTACTTTAAAAATTTAATATTCAAACTAGAGTGCTGGGAAGTTTGGTATCAGATGATTCTACCCAAGCTGGAGAACCCTCTCAAAATTATCAAAATATGATTTATATCCATTCAAAAGGGACCTGTGAGCTCATCACAATACAAGTATATCTTAATAATCTAACATTTAATGAAATGTTTAGAGAGAGCTGTTACTTCTGTGGGATTTCTAACTCGCTGCATACACAGACCATAAATCCAATTAACATGAATAAATTGGCAGGATTAATACTGAAATATTAATTTCATGGCAGGTCATCCATGAATATACCAATGCATTATGCAATTTTTACAAATTGCTCTATAAGTCTATATATGTTCTATAATATTATTTATTTTGTCATTTTATTTCAAAAGTTTTGAGCTTGCGGCAATGCTTGACTGTATCAGATTTCTTTTCAACAATACATGCTTTGTTTCTTTTAATCTCTTCTCTTGAGTTTTTTATTCAAGTTTGTGGAGCTATATTCATTAATTTAGTTTCTTATCTTGTAACATAATGCTTGCCATTGGTTTCTTCATTATCCTCTGAATGACAGTAAATCTCTGCTTTGCCATGCTGATGAAGGATTACATCTGTTAGATGTCACAACTGGAAGAATGTGCTTCTTTTAGATCTTCACCTTCTAAATCTGCCTCTATATTCTATCTCTTCTACTTAATTAAATCATTGTTTAATTTGGTTTTCCATTTAATTTGAGCAAAACCTCTGGAACAAAATAATTTAAATTAATAACTGCACAGCTTTCACTCCTTAATAAGCAGTTATTATTGGACATTCCAGTCTGGCTGGAGTGAACTGATTTTAATTAAACAAGTCAAAGACAAAGCCCTGAACAGACAGAAGAGAAAAGAGACCAAATAAAGCCTGACAATTTGGGTGGAGAATCAAAAAGTACATTACTCCAGCATCTTGTAAAATATATGCCTGGTGATACCCTGTTGATACTGGCCTGATACAATCAGCTGCTTATCGATGGATAAGATTAACTTCTTAATTCAAAGTGCTAGTAAGTAATGGCTTTTGTCACCCAATTGAGCTTAGAAGAGATTTAAATCCTAATGGAAATTTAAAGGTCCTGCCCAGTGTGGGAGAGAGTTTCAGGAGGACAAGTGGCATCTGCTGGGGAGACACACGAGAGGTGAGCACCCAGAACAGGCTGTGGGTCCTGGGCAGGGGTAGCTGACTCCTCCAGACAGGCTCTCAATGCCTTTGTTCTCAATCTTGCCATAAAAAACTCTCCACAGCAAAAATGTGGCCCTGTCAGCATGTACTTTCATAGCCATAAGAAGTATTATATTCAACAGAGAGGAGAACCAGGTTCTATAAAGATGTGAGAGCCCCAGACTACAGCCTTGTCACAGCTAAGAGCCACAGCAAACTTCACAATGAAAAATGAGTAACAACTATTAAAGAACCGCTTGTCATCCGCTAATTTTATAAAAAAGTGAGAAACAAAGGGGAAAAGGACAGAAGAAAAACGCAAAAGCTTCTGTGTCAAAGAAAGTGAAAATGTTAATTGTATTCCTGAACTCTCTACCCCTTGAATCCAACTGCTGTACATACATTATTCCTCCAGTGGCGAAATGGTTTTGATTGAAACAGCTTTCCAACTTAGGCTTTGCCTGCTGAATTTCTCAGGGAGGTGGGGAGGGTAACGAATGATCCTGACCTTCCTCCCTCTATTTCTTCCTTGCCTTTCCCCCTGTTCTCCCAGAGGAGGCACAGCAATTACCAGATCCTGGGCATGCTCTCTTGGCCACAGCCACTTCCCCATCTATAACCATACCCTAGTAGAAAAGCAACACAAACTTGTAAATTGTGGATCCCCAGGTATTGAGGCTGCTGCCTACAGACCACAAACAACAGTTTGTTCTTCAAGAACTGCCCAATTCTCTGTGAAAGGCTAAAAAACATTAAAGGAAGAAAGCATAGGGAAGCTTTTACTAAGATTAAGGCAGTGTTCTAAGCAGCAAGAAAGAATGCACAGACATGGCCAGACCTAGTAGTAAAATGACCTTCAGAGGAAGAAGAAAAGTGATAGAAAAATTAAAGCTCAACAGAGAATCCATTAAAAATACAGAGGAGTATTTCATTAACAGCTAGTATGGGAAAAACATACATCAATTACAGAAATTTCAGCTTCTGAATTAAAATTATATAGGGTATATGCATACATCTGTATACATGTACATATGGGCAAGCCCCGTGAGAGGCATAAACACTGAAAAGAAATGTGACAGAATCTAACACACCAATGTTTTTGAAGATCTGCTTCACAGTCTGTGGATTACAGCAGAGCAGTGCACACTGCTGCCTGTAAAGCAAATGCAAATGCCACACCACACTCACAGCAAAGCCAGAAATAGGGTTTCAAATGCACTCCTTCCCCTCATTTACATGGGGGTAAAAAAGCATGAGTCATACTCTGCAATTTTAAGGAAAAAATGTCAATTAAGAACTTGATTATGCAAAGAGTAATTGATTCTGGAGCCAGCAATGATACTCCTGATACCACACACATGAGTCAGCCTTCTCAAACAATGCTCATATTTTCAGCTTTGAGTAGTCAATTGCACGCAGTAAATAATAAGCTAAAAAGAAAGGGATTAAAAACAGAATCACTGCTGGAAAAACTGCCACTATCAAACACTTGTGCTCTGAAACAGAGGATTCCTGGTACCATATTTCTTGAGTGGAGAGATTAATGCAAATGTTGCATCGCTGTTAACAAAAACCACTGCACACCCACTGCTGGGGTGGCAAAAACATTCAGGCTCAGCACCAGATCCTGTCAGCTCAAGTTCAACCTTTCAGAGCAGCCATTGCTTTACTCTGGGTTTCCTCCCAGTCTTAAGGCAGTCCTTTGGTTGACTGCATTTCCTGCAGTCCTGCTGACAGGCAGGGCAGAAACCTTCAGTCACCTCTTGCCTTACCGTGGTGGTCCACTGGTCCCAGGTGCTTGTCCTCACCAGCAGCTGAATGAGTTTTTCTAGAGGGAATGGCAGGAATGGGGGAATAATTTCACCTTTGCACATTAACAATCCCCAGTAAGCCTTGGTTCAGGGCCTTCTGGATTCAGACATGGATTGTATAAGACTTCTAGAGTCATTTCTTCCCCACGAGCCAGTCCCGTGACTGTAATTTTTGGCACTCACAATTCTGTAACAAGCTTTCCTACAGGTTAGTTATGGTTACAACGCTCTGTTTGGGAAATGCCCAGTAATACCTGCCTATGATGGTGTATCAATATTACTTCCAGTACCTTTCTTCAGAAATTTGATCCTCTAAATCTGCAAAACCATCTCCAAATCTGTATATGCTCTGAATACATGTACAACTGTACAAGTGCAAACAGAAGGACGTGTCATGCAGTAAGGGCTGGAATTTTCTTAACGGTTGCATTTTCAACAACACAAATTTACTCTGATATAGGATCAAATATAGGCCTAAATGGTAATCTTTGGTGTATAAAACAAGGTCATGTTAAAGCACTTCAAATCTAACCTGCCTATGATGCTTAATATTTCAGCCCCTGGAGAAGGAGAAGGTTTATTTTTCCCATACTCAGTTTAATTCCCTCCTTTTTAACCTGTTGTAGAGCATTTTATGCTCACAATAGAAACACATCTCAGCTGCATACTATTAATTTAGTATTTTGTTTCAATTTTTGCTTTGCTCTGAATCCAACCCTACTTTGCTTTGCAATTGTTCTAAGAATTTAAAAGCAAGTGACACTTTCAAGGTATTATTTCATCCATAATTTTCGTTCTCACACACATTTCTGAATATTCCAAATCATAATGGTAGGTATTAAGAGGCTTTGTTTTCCTTGTTTGTTTTTCATACATACAAAAAGCCTTCTGTAGAAATTACAATTGCAGCCTCTATTGTTCAGAGGCATGTGCTTAAAAGAAAACACAAGGCACCAGTTTAATTGCTACTACAGATATTCCTGACGTAAACTGTGAAGTTCAGGCCCAGATTGAAATAAAAAATTTTATTTACTTTTACTTACTGCAAAGAAATTCAAAAAAAGTAAGGCGAAGTAAAGTTTTGAGTGGATAACAGATGCAAACTCACAATGCTTTAACTGCCAACCAGCAGCACACCAAAAAGCCTTCCATCTCCATCCAACTAAAACAATGCATTTCTCACATATGGTGCTACTTATTTTTAACAGCATAATTTCAGCAATCCCCCAGTGACGAGAACAATCAAGCTTGATTTCTTTGTGCAATTACGAAGAACCGTAGTGTTCAATCAATCAAACTTGTTGATACTCCAAACTCCAGCCTAATGGAAGGAGACATCATTGGATTAAACAATAATGGTTTGTCTCCTCTTTTCGGCAAAGAGGGAACAAATTTTATTTTTTTTTTTTATTTAGGTTTGCTAAACTGGAGTATTTAAATGACTAGCTGGTGGCTAATTATGAATCAAAAATACTTAATGAATGCTTACCTGCCACATAGAGGTGTTGTGAAAATTAATTAGGTAAGGTTTACAAAATGCTTTGAAGATTAAAAACACCACTTAACAATAATTGGATGAAGTATGCAGGGATACTGAAGAAACCTGGCAACAGCCTAAAATCTCCCTTTTGTGTTAGAGAAGTTCTCCTTTGTGCAAGCTGTGTCACTGGATTCCTAAACTCATGGAGTTTGCTCCTCTGTGAAGGCAGCTGTGTAATTCTTCTTCCTTTTGGAAATGCTGAATTATGGTGTGAGATTCCCACAGCTTTACAGGATCCTTAGAGCATCAGTGGCTGTAGGTGTTGCAGATAAATGATCTATCCTAAATGCCAATCATTTACTACCTCTGTATTTAATTTTCTGGTTACTTTGCCATATGACAGCTACAAAATTTAATGCTAATTATGCCACAGCTGGGACTCAAAAACTTTGGCTCTTTGAAACCTCTTCTCCAAGACTTTGTATTTTTAACTGTCTTTTAATTCACAGAGGTCTCATGCAGCAAATTCTTTTGGCTTGTTGTGGGGCAACTTGCCTGACTCAGACGGACAGAATGCAGCTTGTAGAAGAAAATCAATTCATGTATGCCGCAGAGCTGCCAGGAAATCAGAAATACCTGATTTATAACAAAATTCTTCCCTGGCCAGCCTGTAATACTGCATTATAGCTTATTACAATAACTTTCTGTCTCACAGTCTGACTTTTCCTGGGTGCAAAATCCCTCAGGAGGGTTGGCTACTGCTTGTAATTTGTGCACATTACACAACCAACTATCTCGCTCGTGGGATTTCGGCGCAGGATTTGCCAGGACAAATCCAGGGTGCCGACGATCCCAGCGGGGGGTTATCAGGAAGCCTGCACACAGTGCTGGGGCTGACGTCAGTGATGCTAATCCACACTTTCTCGAGCACTGAAATAGCTCACAGACTTGTGGAGAGGATAAATACAGAGCAAGAAAATCACCCTCCTCTTATTTCGGCGTTTTGTTTTTTTTCCTCTCTGTGTTAACAAGGGCTACAGACCCACTTTTACGTGTGGAACACTTTTTGTCCTTTTTCACAGCCAGAATGAACTCACATCTGTCTATTTATCTACATGGCCCACAGCACAGCAGATAGGTGGGTATCTCACTAATGAATTATCTTCCCAGCACTGCTTCAAGGCAGGGAAGTGCTGTTACCATCTCAGCCACCTCCACCCCTGGTTGACAGATAAGGAAGCGAGGTACACAGAGAGTAAGTGATTTATTTGCCCAAGGTCAGGCAGCAAGCAGAGAAACTGAGGCACTGCCTGTGCCTGGCCAGAGGCAGCCCAACAGTCACACTCACAATGGCTCAGCACTGACGTGTTGGCTCCAGTGACATTGGTAAAGGCAGCATCAGATGGACACATTAGCTTATTTTCAGCAGTAAAAGGTCTGTTACAGAAAATCCTAAGAGTATTTTTTCAGTCTGTTGAGACACAGATGCAAATGTGTCTTGACACACGGTATTTTCAGGAGATCGAGTCACCTCAAAGTGATGAAAATCACTATTCAGCAGCAAAATATCAGTAGCCGGTGGCAACAGCCTTTTGCAGGAATGTTAACAGCACTGGGAATGCTTCCCATGGCATCTGTGGTGCCAGCATCCCTTCTCCTCCTCTTCAGACAGTGAGTTCCAGTGCAGCCATGGCATCAGTGGAAGCACAGGACTGCCACGGGAGGGATGGGTGAGCTCTGCTGTGTCTCCTTTCCAAACCATTTCCTTCAAGGCTCTGTGAGCTTGTGCACACCTATTGAGCTCCAGCACTCACTTATCCCTGCTGCTCTGCTACCCACAACTCTAATTTTTCCTGTCTTGTGTGGATCAAAACACCATCAAGGTGCACTCAGTAATACCCTGCATTTTAGTGTAATTTTTTCAAAAATAATGTTTCAATCCTGCAGTCTTTACTCACACATGCAAAGGCACTGCAGTTTTCAGTTTCCTTGTGTCAGAGGAAATTCCAGGTGTAAATATCTCATCAAGAAGAGTATGAAGCAGAGACCACTGAGCTCCAGTTCCCATCCTTCTCTCTGCTCCCATACATTTACACTGGATGTTGTTTTTTCCATTCTCCTGGGTCCGTTCATTACAAGTTTATGCTCATAAACGTGCCTTGGAAACATGCTACATCACCAGATCTCACACTCTAGGTCAAAAGTTCGTCAGTATGCAACAAATTCCTGTCATCTGTATATTTCCCATCTCAGAGAAGACTTCTGTCCCTTAAAGCTCTAAATAAATAAATAGAACAAATCTCTTAAAAGGTGTGACTTTTAAGGAAAGGAAGGGAAGGGATTGCCCTAAAATTCCACCTAAAAGCATTTCCCTGTTGATCCCCTCTTCTCCTTTGTCAGCACAATGCCAGCATGTTGCTCCTCCCCAGGGACCAGCTGCATTGTGTGAGCTCCAGTGCCTTCTGCAAGAACACCAGGACACCAAACAAGAGGGCAGGGTCAGCCTCTCTGCTCAGCTGCTGCCACATTTCAGGGGAAAAAAATTTTGGGCAATTTCAGTGGCGTCTCTCTGGAGTCCTTGTTTTTAGAAGCCTGAAAATAATTAGTTCCAAATGGAAATCAGACTGTGTCATGCCATAAGCTTGATTTTCTTCAAATAGCCTTCATTTTGTGGGTGTGCACCCCTAGTCCCCTGACCCTGCTTCCTGGCTCATCTGACTCCCAGGTACAACTCAAACTGCGGGAGGGCACTGGTGCATGACTTTAAATTTATCCTTTGACTTTCACCACTTCCTCTGCTGTCACAAACAACTTTTGATCTTAAAAGTGAAGCAGCAAACCTGGACCAAAGGGAAAAAATTGTGGGGTTGTTTTTGTTTGGGGTTGTTTTTTTCAATTTGATTTATAGCCAAACAATTCAAGTTGTTCCCCCATTCAGACCGGTAGAGATGGTTCACTATCTCTGGTTGAAGAAATGCAAAATGACTGCAGCAGTCACGCTCTGCTGAATAGAACTGATGTCTGACACTTAAATTATTGTCAGTATTTGGTAATACTTTTCAAACTTTAGCTCAAATACCTCTGTGCTTTGCATATTGGCAAATGCTAGGTAATGGTGCAGAATAACGAGTCACCATTGTAATTGGCTTTGTATATTTAATAAGGCTCTGATTATACCTAATCTCCTCACTGAGGTACTTAAATTAAAGACAGCCTTGGAGAATCATGTTCCTTTAGTCAGTGGAAAGAGCAGGTACAGAGGGCAGCTCAAATCTGAGATGCCTGAACATCTCCTCTGTAAGTTGGGAGAGGGAAATCAGTCTTAAACAACTTAGGACCGACTCCTTCTGCTTTGGGATTTCCTGTGTTCAGGGTATTCAGGGAATTTGGTAATAGATAAAAGCCTGAAAGTAAAAACAAAACAGATAAATTATTAAGTCGTGCATATGCTGCATACATGTTTTGTACATCCTGCATATGTGTCTCTCTTCAAGAATGAGTTAGAGGTTCAGGCCCCAAATATGTGTCCAGTACCTGCTGGAAGGGTAGGGCAGGAGCTGCCAGGACCATGGCAGGTGAAACTGTAGCTGTTTTGGAGGCAGGTGATGGGGTTTGATACTCTGAGCATCACCTGGTGCTTCAGGATGGTCCTAACACCTTCTTGTCCCTCATGCTCTGTCAGCTTTTGCTTTCCTCTGCCACAGATGAAGCATGGATGTGTCCAGCCAGCTGATGTGGCCCAAAGGTGCTCCCCAGGGAAGGGATCTGGCCTGTTTACACGCTTTCATCTTTTTCATACAAACCAACCAACACCAGAGGAAAATACTTTGGAATCCAGTTATTTTGTTCTTTGAGACTTTTATCAGCGTAAAGTCACCTCTCTAAACCGAGCAAGACATTTTCATCCCCACCTACACATCCTTTTCACTGACCCTCCAGGTTCACCACACTCAAATTCCTGGGTTTTAGTGATTCTCCACGGAGTCTTACGGCACTTGCTGCAAACGGTTTCTTTTGTGTCCATCCTCAGATGAACAAATGTGGGACACAAGCTCCGGTGTGGCTGTCTCTGAAGTCTGAATCCCTGCCAGTCCCTGGAGAGAGCAAGAGGCTCACAGCCTGTGCCACCTGGCAGGTCCTTTTTGGGGGCACCAGGGACTGCTGCTTGTTTCGGATACCCATCGCCGTCAGGAACTGCGGGGAGTTCTTTGTGTACCTCCTGCAGCCCACTCAAGGATGCATGGGCTACTGTGCAGAAGGTGAGGGTTGGAAAGGTATTTATCAATAAGATTACTTATGCCTCTCAGGCTGGGTGTCCAAAGGTCCTGGTGCTGCAGTGCACGTCTCGGTGACCTTGTGAGTCAAGCATCACTCCCGGTAAGACGCAGACCGTGTAGAAAATAAATCACTGGCAGTCCAAGGTGTTCCTGAAGAATAGCTCTTATTACCAGTGCAAAATGTAATCTGGTGTGTATTACTGAAGCGCTCTCTGCTTGGTCACAGCTCACATGTAACCTTTCCTCCTGTCTTTGGCTCCACTTTGGCTTGAAGTTGCAAAGCTAGTGAGTGGAGGCATCTCAGCTATAGTGAAGCACTGTATCCAGGATACTGTCTCTAAGGTCTGTTCTTATCTTTAATAATCTAGTACCAACCCTCCCCACCCCTCCCCACCCCCCAAAAAAAAGATAATTCTGAAACTCTGTAAGTAAAAAAAAAAAAAATAAAAAAAAATCACAAACTGATAACATCTTTTTCATGACATTTATATAATTGTTCTCATCAGAAATAATTTTCAGCCTACTACAAGAGATGCAACCCCTGCTAGGTATCTAGGAAACAAAGGAAAAACAGAAAAGCAATTGCTCATTCAGTTAAACCTTCTGAACTTTGGAGCATGTTCAGGTGCATACAGATTTCATCACAAAAAGACACTTCTTTCTCAAAATGAAAAAAATTTACTTTTATACTTTCCTTTCAGTGTTTTGGACAGAGATATGACACATTGAGAAACTAGGGTTATCAGCTTTCAATCAGACAAAACCCAAGCTTAAATAAATTTTAAAGAAAAAGATAACTATTTTCTTATCTTTTTCAATATTTTAATATTCCCACATGAAGATGAGGAAGGAAGAAAGGCTCAAAGAACACGAGATTAATTCACTACTTGAAATAAAAAAATATCTATTAAAATAAATGAAACGTTCCTTCTCAGAAATTACTTTTTAACTGAATAGTCTCATTTTTCAGTTGAAGCTTGGCTTTTTTTATAAAATATAAGATTTCTGCAACCCTTGTTCAAAGAATTTTTTTGCCAATACCTTTTGGGTGGTTAATTTTGTCCTTTCTGTTGATTCATACCTGTTTAGTGATGTAAATCTGCCTGCATTTTTCCTAAAAGAAAGCTTATCCCTTCCCATCTATCCCAAATCAGTGACTTGCTGCCTTTTCCTTATCACTGCTGTTGAAACTTTCACTTTTTTCCTTGTCCTTTCAGTGAGGGCCAGTCCTCCCAAGTCTTTTCTTGCCTTTAGGATGTTGTTGCAGTATTATGCATTGTATAGAAAGCACCCAAAGTTTTTTACTGGGGGGGTTTACCTCACTGTCTTAAATTCAGCTGTAAACTTTGCACCACAAGAGCCCCACACAGCCCCAGAGCCGGGTCCTGCATCGACACAGCTCAGTGCAGGGGTCAATTCCCCAGCCCCTTCTGCTGCAGGCTCTGGAGCAGGACACTGGTCAGCACTTCTGAGCTGCGAAACAAAATGAATTTAGAGCTTCAGAACTTGTCAGAAAGGACACAGCAACATTTGTGCTTGCTGTTCCGCTCACATCCTCCCATGAGCTGATCACCTAACTCTGTCCTTCTGGGAAAATTTCCTGCAGAAAGTCATGGTGTGACCCACAGTTTGAGGCAGCTTTTCTTAGAAACAAATCAGAAAAGGATATAAACACCTCTTTACTCGTATTCAAAGTAACTTCTTTCTTTTTCTTTCCTCTTGTTATCTGCTCTGGACAGATGTTAACACACTGGTTCTCCGTTCTGCTATAACAGCTTCATAACTTATTCTCGTGGGCTCCCATAATATTTTCTCCTCCAAAAAAGTTACTTAATTTATCCTTTCAAGACATCTGAACCAGCTTCATGTTCTGTTTGAGTCTGTGTCTCCAGAGATGAAAGAACATCTCCCTACGCTATTATACATCTTTTTGTTTCTACTTTCTAGGTGAGTTTAACAGGAAGAAAGGCTTCAGACTTCATTACCTGTTGAAGCCTACAGAAAGCAGGCTGTATTTTTAGAGCAATGGCATTATTCTGGGCAGAGGGAGACTAACCTGAGCAGACCTGGCCTAGATACATCCCAAAACAGCCTGGAAAGGATCTCTGCAGCATGGCAATATGGCCTGGATGCTCTCTGAGAATCAGTTTACCTCTGCAACATAATGATTTCTCATATCTCTTCTGTGCTCATTGCAAAACTTGGATCAAAAGGCTGTGCTTCAGGGAAATGCAAAGCTGATGGCCTTTGCCAGACTAATTAATTTGTATTAATCTGAGTGCTTCATTTCCATAAAATTTCTCTTACTGCAAAATAAAAAGAACACACACACACTAAAAAAAAAGCAGGTCAAATATTACAGCAACAGTGGGTAGTCAGTACACAATTAGCAATTTTTGCATTTCACATGAAATACATTTTCTTGCTTGCATGGTTCATAACCAAATCAAATCAAATCACCTTCTTGCGAGGCGAACAATTGCAATGTTAAAATAACACTTTGTGTTACATCCTTCTTTTGTTTCCCTCTTCCAGACAGACTCACGAGCCTGTCTTTGCAACCAGTGATAACTCCCGAGCTCGTGCGAGGTCGTGTCCGCCTGAAGTGCACCTACAGCCACCCTCCCTCCAAGCCCCAGCTGCAGTACGTGGTGCTCTGGTCACGCCTCTCCAGCCCTGGAAAGAGAGAGCAGATCCACCGGGAGGCCACCCTGGAGTCGTTTTCCTACGCAGAGATGGACGGCACAAACCTCAGACTGGGAGACACGGTAATGCCGCCCTGCCTTCAGCAAAAAGAGGTCAAGCACCTGGGGAATCAGAGCCCTTTCTTAAATCTTTCCTGTGTTTTTATCAGTGCTGCTCCTCACTCCTCATACTTGCAACTGCTGTGCTAGAAAGCACTGAAACAGTTTCATAACAGGATTATTAAATAACATTAACCAGATTCAGGACCTGTAACATTTCTTTGAATTGCAGTAAATTCATGGAAGGTATTTTACTACTTTCCAAAGGCAACTTGAATATTTGCACTTACATTACAGCTTTAATGCTATGAAGTTTGTATAAGTGATAGGTACATCTGCCTGAGCCAATTTTTGTTTGGTACTTTTCATATCTTGAAGAGTGAGAATTTGCAGTAGAGGCAGGCTCAGCTATATGCACTCAGTAATTTTTATATCCATGGATCAGAGACACAATAACATCTTTTCACAGAAGAAAAGGATAGTACATTTTAAAATAGAGGGAGGTTTACTTTATGGTCTTTTTCATGGCGTTCTGCCTCTGTGATTCCAAATTCTTGGTTCAATAGCACGCTGAAAGATAGAGTTCATTACAAAACAATCTTTAAGAAGTATATTTGATGGCTTACACAGCAACACAGATCTAGTTTCAACAACAACAACAAAACAGAAACCAATATGAGATGTGAAAAAAAAATTGAGTTGTGTATGAATTCATGGCCTTTCATGCTACAGAAACAAGACTTTTAAAGTTAAATTAGGTTCATAACTTTTATAGGCAGAGGGCCATTAGTGATGCTACAACAAACTGAAAGAATAAACAGGGATAATGGTCTTGTGTTAAAAGTAGGTTGGAAATAGTCTTGGTATTTTGCAGCTCTTTGAGATTATGGAATCATAGAATACCAGGCTGGAAGAGACCTCAAGCATCATGTGGTACAAACTTTCTTGGTAAAAGCACAGTCTAGACAAGGCAGCCCAGCACCCTGTCCTGCTGAACCTGAAACATTTCCAATGTTGAGAAATCCGTCACTTCCCTGGGGAGATAATTCCAAGGGCTGATTGTTAACTTTGTGAAAAAAAAAACTCTCTTTGTGTCCAATCAGAATTTCCCCTCATGTTTTCCATGTTACTTCTTGCAAAAAGGGGCTCTCCATCTTCTTTGTAGCCACTCTTTAAAAACTGGAACATGGTGATGAGGTTGGCTTTAAGCTTTCTTGTATCAAGGCTGAACAAATCCAGTTCTCTCAGGCCTTCCCTCACATGGCAGCTTCCCAGGCCTTGGATAATCTCTGTGGCCCTTCTCTGGACCCTCTCCAGCCTGCCCACATCTTACTTGTATAGTGGTGATCAAAACTGAACACAGTATTCCAGATGTGGCCTCAGAAGTGCTGGATAGAGAGGGATGATGGCTTCTTTATCTCTTCAGGTGATGCCCTTTTTGATGCAGACCAGCATCCTGTTGGCTTTCTTTGCTGCAGCAGCAAATTGTTCGCTCACACTGAGTTTTTTGTCCACCAGGACCCTGGGGTGCCTTTCCACGGTCCTGCTCCCCATCTGGGTAGATCCCAGCCTGTGCTACTCTCCTGGATTATATTTTCCCAGGTGGAATACCCTGCACTTCTCCTTGTTGAACTTCATGAGGGTCTTGTTAGCCCTCTCTTCCAGCCTACCCAGGTCTTCCTACAGGGTGCTCTCCCTTTCAAAATGTCAGTTTCCCCACTCACTTTGGTATCCTTGGCAAACTCTGTCAGGGTATTCTTGATCCCACCTTCCAGACCACTTATGAAGACATTAAACAGCACTGGGCCCAGTATCTCACTGCTCTGGCTGGCCTGGCTTACTCCCCAGTTGGTTGCAAGGGTGTGAGTGTTGCCACTTCAGACCCCATCCCTGAGTCCTTCAGTTTAAGGTCCACCTCACCAAGCTGGCCAGACTGCTGCCAAAGATTTCCTTGCCTCTTCTAGATAGGTGGATCCCATCCTTCCCTAGGCAGATGTTGAAGAAATTATTCTAAACTTTTTTTCCAGCTCTTGAAAGGATAAGTCATTTATAACAGTAGCACAATCTAGATAGGATTGTTTTTGTCGTTTCTCCTCATAATTATGCCTCCTGAGTTCAGAATCTGACTGATGATGCCCTCACATATTATGAGACAGATAATTCTGCCAGTTTAAGACAAGTTTGTGTTATGAAGAGATATTTTCATCAAAATAATTTCACTTGCAATCACTTCAAATCTAGTTTTAACAATCCTGAGGGATTCACAGAAAATATGGTTCTGTTACCTAGTAGCATTGCCAAATCTTTATAAGACCATTTTTATTATATCAAGTTTTCAGTAAGCCCTTCTTTGTCCTCTGTTGAAACTACGTGTTTAATTTAGTGGGTTTAGTGAGACTAAAATGTTCTCTTCCTTGTTAGATTTCTTTAAAGGTCCTCATGGCCTATTTGACTAATTATAATTATTCATAAATCATCACGGGTAAAAACCAAGCGATGAAGCTTCAGCTGTAACTGAGAATTTACTTTTACAGAATAAAGATTAAAAAAGGCATTTCACCCTGTTTTCCATCCTGGTCTGGATGTCTAATTAGAGTCACAAAGGAGAAGCCTATCCCCTCCAATGGTGTAAATCTGATGAAATTTAGCAATGGTAGGGCTACCCCAGAGGAAAGGTGATGGCACTAAAAGGAGAATCAAAGCTTGGGTACCAAACTCTTCTGCACAGAGGCAGCTGGCAGCTTCCACCTGCCCACGAAAGATGCAGGTGGAAGACTATTCTTTCAAGCAGCATGGAAAGGGAGGTCAGATTCCCCTGGTAGAAGCCATATGAGAGAGGAGACAATGAATTGAGAGCACTTTCCAGTTCTGTCTCCCCTTCTACATGCACAGCCCAGTGATATCCCCCCCAGGGCTGTGCACTGCCAGGGTGTACTGCTGACATTCAGAGCAGAACTTGTTCCCCAGGACACAGAATTTGCCCCCAAGAATGCAGAATTTGTAGTGCTTCAAAACTGTTTCCTTTTTTTAACCTTTATAACTCTTCATCTCTACCTGCATGATAACTTGCATTTGGTCTCAACACATTCATGACCTGAAATCGGCATCTTTGTTCATTTCTTGATAAAAAAAACGCAGCGAAGCAAAAAGGTGGTTTTTTTTTTTAATCACCTAAAAGGTGGTTGATATCTATGCTACTTTTTATCTGTAAAAAAGTCTCCAGGTAGTAAGTCAGTCACATAATAGAATAGCTATTGATATATTTTAATACACAGTCAAACCTTAGAAAAGGGCTGAGATTTACTGGTCGACATTCCTGAACTTGTATTGACTAAACAGCCAGTTATTTTTTAATAGCCATCATGTGTCCTTTTTTTCCTCCCATCTTTGGGCTCCAATTTTTTTTTATTTCAGACAGTAATGTTGGCAGCATAATGTTCACGAAACTATTGCAGCCTTAAATAAATCTATAACATGCCACTATTTCTATATAAACTGTGAAAGAAGCCTACTCCATCTGATATGAAAATCCTGGCATTCCTAAGCCTTATTTATGTGATAGTGACAGAGGTCATTTCATTCCTCGAGGCAGAGCCATCTATAAATTATAGTGGTGCACTGTGAGTAATGAGTTATGGTAAGAAAGAAAGGTGTTTAGAAGAAAACTGTGCAGATTTTGCTCAGCACAGCAATCCAAAAGTTCACATGGTGAGGAGTAATTGTCACTGTACATAAACCACGATGCACGTTGTAAAATAAGAATGTTTAAGCAAAACCAGAATTTCTGAGCTCTGTGATAGAAGTGGCTGCTTTGCATGGAACTCTACAACAGCAGAATAATGCCCTAAGACAAATTACTGCTTATATATATGTATATATATTTATAATATATAAGCCAGGTGTATGTATATATTTATTATATATACTTTTATTATGTTAAATAACTATTTTTCCCTCACAAGGGAAAAGGTGTGAAATTTCATAGACTGGTTTGGATTGGAAGAGACCCCAAAGATCTTCTAATCCCCCTGTCATGGGCAGGGACACCTTCCATTAGACCACACTGCTACAAGCCCCATCCAACCTGGCCTTGAACACCTCCAGTGGTGGGGAAAGAGATCCTACTATCCTATTGTTCTTGGTGCTAAAGCCAGATCTTGCAGAGCACTTACTCTTCATCTCTCAGGGAAACAGGATCTTTGTCTCATTAGCAGTACTTCTAATAGAAGAGGTCCCAGTTCAGCTCATGGGAGAAAAGAAGCTGCTGGTCTCCTGCAGAAGCCCACACCAGATGATGGATCCAGTACATTTATTGCACTTAGCTTAGATGGAGAATCCCTGGCATATGGGTTCACAAATGTTAAAACATATTAAATCTATACCCATGTATATATATACTCCAAGCACTTAGAAGTTCATCTTTAGGATTTGCCCCTTCTCCTTTCCCAAAAATAATAAGCTCTAAGTTTACAAACCCCCAGTCAGCACCAATACCCAGCATCTCCTCTTCAACTACTTCATGCTCCTGGCACAGCTCTCAAACTGACTCAGACTTTTCCACTTCACAGTTCATTCTACACTGGCATCTGAACTGCTAAGTGCCAAAGTGGCATTTTTCCCCACTTCCTTAAATGCTAATCCCCTCCCAGCCACTGGACTTGTCAAAATCAACAGCAGAAATAGGAAGACCTGCTTGTTTGTAGGTCACACCTGAGCTTACAGCTTCTTTCTCAACCTTCAGGTAGAAAATGAGGAGCATCCCCGTGGAAACAGAACTCTGGGTGAACTTGAACAGAGCTTTTAAAGCAGAAAGGGTCAGAGAGTTGATGAGCAAAACTCTGCAGATGATAAACCACCTTACTACTACACTGGGAAAATTTCCTTCCTTAGCAGAATAATGACCTACGGTCAGCTTCCACACACTGCTTGGCCATTTGACAACTGGGAAGAGCTGCCTTTTTTATATAGAGAGAGTAACAGAGTGAGCAGAGTTGGACTCCCTGCAGTGTCAGGTCATGCTGCTGCACCAGCTCTCTCCCTTCCGCAGCCAACGGCCCCTCACAGGGAGCGATTTGTGTTCTAAAGCTTTAAGGTCTAGTTCATCAATTAAATCAAAGTCAGATTCTCCCTACTTTCCCCTTCCTGCTAACCCTTCTGGAAAGCCTTTCCAGAAACTTTGTTCCTACACCTTTCTGCAAATACCTACAGCCAGATCATTTCCTCAAGCTAATGAGAACTATCTTTTTTTTCCTCCGGCTTCCCTAGAAATGTCATCCTTCAGTTCTGCTCATCCTTTGCTCTTTTCATCAGGGCTGTAAACCACAGCTCCCTCCCACACACGCTCCCAGCAGACTGGAGACTCCAGGTTTTTCTAACCCCAGCACATTAGTGTTTAATGGAGCAGGCAATGGCAGCTCCTGTGCCTTGACAGCCATCGGGAGACACCTTTCACCCGGCGTGATGATTCCCTGCCCAACCCTCCAGCTGCAAGCCATGAGTGCTACTGAGTGACTCTCACCCTTGCAGCCCCAGCCTGCCTTCTGATTATGGGTGGTGTAGCTATAGCTACAGGGAAGATCCAATCCTGGAGTTAATAATCACCCCCCAGTTTGGGCATCTGCACCTTCCCAGCAGCATCCAGACTTCCCTGCCCAGTGAACAGGGAGAAGCAGGTAACCCTAAATGGCACCTTGTGTTAAGAAGGGAGCTTTCCACAGGTGGAGGACATAAATTACTAACTGGGTCAGCATCCCTGAATTCCCACACCTCTAAGGAGCTTGTATGGGTTTTGAGCACCCAAGTAACTCCTCTCTGGCTTTTAGGAACCCAACCCCTTGTATGAGCACAGTGGGAGAGGCTGATAAAAGAGAAGCCATGGCAATGTTGGATGTGCTGGCAAACATCCCCTTCCGTGCCCCAGCCTGCACTCCCCACACTACATTCAGAATTAATTAGGGGCACAGGAAAAGGTGAAATTGGAGGCATTTTTATGGTCAAAATAAGTATAAATAACTGATTTTGATGAATTTTGAATGCTGAAAGCTATGGGGGAAAACACCCATATTTTAACATGCAGGTTTTGTTAGGGAGAAATTTGCTGGAGGTGGTGACAGGTCCTAGGATGAAAATATTCTCCCAAATTGTTTCTCAGAGCCACCTGACCCTCACCAAATGAATAACTGAATTATTCTGTTTTTGGCTAAATAAACTGCTCATGGGGTTCATGTCAAAAAGGGAAGGAGTCTGTTTGACTCCATGAAAAGGGAGAAATCTGCTCCAATGCACAGGAAAGGAGACAATTCTTAGATAAAAAGGGCTTATGTTTTTAATCAGTTTTCTGCCTAGAAGAACTTTTCTGCCCTATGGAACGTTCCACCAGCACAAGGGGAAAAGGGAGTAGCCCATGCTGAGAAGAAATCCAGTTATCCTGTCTGAGAGTACCCTTACATTTCTGTCTCTTTAAAAGGGATGATGAAAAATAATAATCTGATTTTTTAACAGATCCTGTGAGTTTGTGGAAAAATACTGCCTAAGTTGTCACGGCCATCAGCATACTGCTGTCAGTGATGCTTTTATCTCTTTGCTTTAAAGAGGCTGCATCCTGAGATGGGTGAAGGTGGGGGGGAGAAAAAGAGAAAGAAAAAGTTGATTACTGAACTAGAAAAAAAAAAAGCTAGTATTTAGCTGAAGGCAAAAAAAAAATAAAAAAGCAAGCAAAAACTCCTCAGAATGACTATCATCATAATTATGTGACAAACTGTCAACCTGTAGCTTGGTAGCCAATGAACATAATATGCTGATTGTGAAGCATGCACCTAACAAGGTAAAGGTACTACAAGGGGAGGGATGATAAAAAAGACAGAAATAAAATGCAACTTGTGGTGGCTGTCAATACATATTGAATTTGCAAAGTTTGTGCTAATCTCCAAAAGCACTGAAGATCTCTAAGGGTGCTGAAGACAGAGCTGGGATGGACTGATAGTCTAAGAATATTTCGATGTATCAGTAAGGAGTAAATTTTTCTTTAAGTGTTCAGTGCTTTATCAATAAAATATACCTCTAAAATATATATGAGAGGAGATTCAAGAGGGCTTGGTTCTGATATGTCCCAGAATGACACTTTGGGGAAGATCACCAGGTCGATGTCTTCGTCGGTGCTGGGCATCTTTGTGCATGCCCCTGATCCTGTCATTACAGCTTCCTGCCTGGCACGAGTGCTCCACATGGAATGCTCAGAGGGAAGCCTCAGTGTGAACATTTTTGGTTAAAAGCACAGAAGCCAAAAGTTCAAAGAGCCCAGTGAGAGCAAATATAGTGTCTGCAATGCAGCTACATATAAACTGCTCCATGAGCTCTGCAAGGGGATCAGTATGAGTTATTTTTTGGTAGGGGAAATATATGTTATTTGAACTCTTTTTCTGTTGTCACCACCTTGTCAGAGCCTGATTTTGCAGTCTCTCCCTGCGGCAGCTGCAGGAGAAGCTGCAGGAGGATGATCAACACTTGCCTTCTGCCTTCCCAGTAGAAGAACTGTTTTGAAAAGTCTGTAAGCTGAACACGAGCCTCTAGGGAACGACTGGAGATGATAAATATCTAATGATAACAGGGGCTTATCACCTTAAGGAGACAACAACTTACTCTACTTTGGAGGCAAACTGGCTAACTATGAAACATCTGATGTATTTTAACTGTGAAGTACCTCTGTGAGGTGAGGTCTGAGTCTGTTTGTCCGCAGTACACCCAGTACGACCTCAAGGCTTCCATCTCTTTAATGTAACAAATGACACCATTTTCACTGGGCCAAACAGGCTGGAACTGTCTGCAAAAGAGCAAGAAAAATGGTGTAGATAAAAATATTCCAAAAGGCCCATCAGCCTGGGACTGACCTGGACTGGAAGCAATTCACTTGAACAGCCCAAAAAACACTTGCCTTTCCCCATAGCCCTAGAAACGACTCTGTATTGCTGGTGGACAACTTTTGTTGTGCACAAATGAGTGTGGGAAGAAGATTCTTCAGGTTGATGGCAATGAAGAGGGATTTTTAGGGTGGTAAAAGAAATATTCCAGGTTGCAGTGCCCATATGACCACAGGAATCTGGGAATATCCTGGGATTGAGCCTGTTTCATAGCTGCTGATCATGAGGGTCGTGACTGAGCCAGCATGTGAGAGCTACCAAGATCAGCATGGTCAGTGAATGACACTGGAAAATCCACCCAAAGGAGTTTACCACAATGGAAAAGAACATGGATTGCTCCGGTTCTTCCTCATGGCTTACTTGAGGCTTGAAAAAGGCAGTAGCTATAAATACGTCTTCTGACTATTTGTAATTTGATTTCATATGTCACAATCTGTTAGTCCATTTCCAGGAAGAGGCCCAAAAAAATATTTACAACTACAGTCTCAGAGTCTATTGTCATATGCTTTAAGGAAAATTTCTGTATTTTAATCTTATGATCCTAGAAATGATTTTAGCAATTTGGTTTCTCTGAAACCCATGAAACATTAAGATGGCAGATGGTGTGCGGGCTCAGCAGAGATAAAGGTTGTGTGACTGTGCTAGGAATAAAACATAAGTGTCCTGGTACATTGTGTTTGGGGGAGTTTTTTGTTTTGGGGGAATTTTCTTTTCTCTTTTTTTTCTTTTATGATATAAACCTTGTAGGCACATCTGCATCATCTTTTATAATGCAATAAGAGGGGAAAAAAAGGAACTTCTTATGTTGCTAACACAATTTCTGAGACTGGATAACTGTCAAAATAATTTAAATTTTAAAATAAACTGCTTACAAACATGGTGCAGAGAGAGGATATTTGATTCAGTGGACAGACTGAAGTCTGGAATCCCAAGGGCAAGTGTCCTAATCCTGACAGTAACGTTTGTGAACAATGTAATTTTCCCTAAGTAAAATGAGTTAAAATCACAAACCAAGGTAATTGAAAAACTATAGAAGTAAATTCATTGTAAGCATTCAGTTCTATTAATTGTTGAGACAAAAATCTATGTTTCTTTGCTTATTAAATGAATCAAAAAATCTTTCAAATCTCAAAATTTATGCATAAACATTCCTAAAGCCCAAATCCCTGAAACATATTTCAACAGCAGAAAGAAATCTTAACAACTCTGAGCAACAGGAAGATGCATAATACACGAATGTTATTCAAGAAATTCTGTATAGTATGTGCTGTTTATTTATTTATTACAGGTCTTTTGCACTGTCACAGCTTTTACAAGGGACACTCCTGAGCAGCAGTCATTGCCTGAGGACAGCAAAGGTTTCTATGCTGGGATTAAGGTAATGCTGATGGCTCTGATTTAATGACTAGGGAACATTTGTGCAGCCTCTGAAAATCAGGACTCAGGAATGTTAAGTCTGATCATCATAACCAGTGCTGCTTTTACATTCACTTTGAGAAAATGACTTTTAATTTGTTGGCAAAACATCCTAAAACACCTATCAGCACCATGTGCACTCTAATGTATCCCAAAGATGAGCAAAATTACATGTTATAGTGAGTGTACCCCGAAATTCTCTGGTGGTTTAATGGGAAGCCACACCTATAAACCTGCAAGGATGCAGAATTTTGCTGCAACTAAACCAGAACAAATGAAGACAAAGAATTATATTCTCTCCATCATCTTCTTATGGTCGCATTACAAAACAGAAACTGCTGAAGATAAATTCATACTGAGCACAAGAACCGGGTCTAATCCCATGCAAGGATCAGGTTGTCAGCCTGGCAGTCCAGGAGATTTTGAGATCTTCTGAGTATCTAAGCTTCATGCTTCCATGAACGGTGTTTGAAAAATCTGAAGAATAGTTTCTGAGGGTTTTTTTTGAAATGTCAGAATTTCCCAGGGAAGTTCCCATTTCTGACTAGCCCTGAATGCTGTTTCTGCTCTTTCTCTGAGAGAACAGATGGACAGACACGACAAAACCTGAGCTCTCTCACTGGCACAGAGGTCCCTGACTCTTTAATATATTTTATGTGGAGAAATCCTTCTTCCTGCCATAGCAGGGAAGGGGAGTGGTCAAAAACTGCGCTTATTTTGCGCCTCTTGCAGACTACAAAGATACAGTCCATGACCAGGAGGTTATGACATACTTTATGCCATGGTATTTCTCCCAGTGAATTGGAATAGAAGGTCCTTTAAACCATGGATATTAAAAAATTAATAAATTCTAGAGTATAATGATATTTTCAGGCTAATAAAAGCCCGGTTTGAGATTTGGAGATGAGAAGCAATTACACTATATATAGAAACTGCAAACATTTTCTTAATTGCCAAGAATTTTAAAGTATATTAACAACAAGTTTACTTTAGAATGTTGAAGATCATTAGTACAAAATTATTAATATTATTAAGAGGATTATGATAAAGATTATTATTATTATTTTGCAAGCAATTATACATCTTCATAATTGATTAAAACCACTTAAAATTTCATAGGTATCAAGCATCGTCTAATTAATCTGTCATCTGTCTTGTCTGTCAAAATTATCTTAAAATTGTTCCCTTCTTTCCAGTTTTTACCAGAATCACTACAGATTGCAGAGGATGGCAAAGAGCATGTTTTGACTGTTCTGAGCACGGTACCCATTGCCTGTCCTGGGCAGGAGGACTCCTGTAAAATTACTTTGCAGCTAAGTACTGAGGATTTGGGTAAGAGTTTTACACACTGGCATCAAATCAATTCATCAGAATCTTAATTACAGTGGATTCTAATAGAAAATATATGTGAATAGTAAGAAAGGACAGCAACCATAAAATCAACAAACCAGGACACATATCTATCTGCAAAATAAAACATCTGATAATACTGGACAGGTTTTTGAGGGAAAAAACCTCAAAAACATAAATCTGACTAGCAATAGCCTGAACAGGAGTCTGTTGAGATTTATGGATGAAATAACTGTGAGTAGAAGAACTTATTTTAAATTCCAGGAGTGTAAAATTCCATTTTAAAGTTTTTTGTAGCAGCAAGGTTCTTAGGTAGAAGAATTTCATTAATTATCAATAAAAAGCTCCTGGGCTGATTTATTATTCAGTAAATGTATACTGAAGCCTTTTTCTGGCTTGTAGTTTTTTTCTAACTTAATATAGAATGAAAAAATAATTCTTACGCTTATGCATTATTTGCTTTCTAATTTTTTTTTTGAGTGAAAACCTTGACAAAGTCACTTAAAAAACTCTTGCCCTTTTATTCAGTAAATGATTTCTTCAGGAATACCATTGCTATTTACTTTCCATTTGCACTAAATAAAACACTCAAGCTTAGTATTCTAACAAGGCACTTATTTCTCTTCCATAAGTGAGTCAATGAGAGAAGCGTTCAGAGGTAGGACTACAGCTGCAGTTTCTCTACCCACAAAAAAAGCCAGCTTTAAAAAATTTTGGCAAAACCCAGACAGTTCCTGATATTTTTCTCTGTTTAAATCCCTCTCCTAACTCTTCTCCTCATCAGCCAAGTGCTTAGACAGAAGGAAAAAAAAAGTCATTCAAATGGTATCATAACACAATGATCTCAAACTGAGCAGCACCTTATGGTTCCAGCAGCTGTGTTGGCTCTGGTACGTGGAGTGCTTTGCATTTCTCCATGGCTCTGTTCTGCATATTGCTCTTGGCTTAGAGTCTGGGCTGGTCCATCAGGAAAACATCCACTGAGCTCATGGGAACAGATTTTCTTAGATATTGAAGCAGCAAAGATCCTGCTCATACTGAGGGATTGAGGATGTCGAAGTTGGTGGGTGGTGCAACATCCCCACAGAGTCCAAGTAACTTAGACAGTGACTGCTAGGAGAATCAAATAAGAATTAGTCCCATTCAAGGTCATTGCTTTTATCTCACAGTTTCTTAGGCATCAATAAAGCCTTTTAAAATCTCACTGACACTGAAAGCAGGGTCCAGGATCACTCAAATGGGAGAGGCTGAGCTTGATAGATTTGACTGAGACCAACCTCTTGCCACGGGCTTCTCCAATCCCCCAGTGTGTGCTGGACTGGAAGAAAGAGAGGATACAAGACTTGCAGAAGCAGCTCTATTTTCAAGCTGTCAATGGGCTTGATGTGTTGGTGCCAAGAGGTGCCAGGATGGAGGCACAGCTCGTCCAATTAACCAATCTCTGAAGGAAGTTGTTGCTGAAGTGGAAAATTTCTGTTCGTTTCAATTAACTCATTGCTGCTGCTTAAACTAAACTCAGTTCTAGCCCCTGGTTGCTCCATCCTGAGGCTGTTTTCCTTGGATGATGCTCAGGCTGTTCATGATCAGTTGAGCTATCTATATATACTTTAGGCTGAGTATCTGGGCCGAGTGTTTGCATAACCACATGTTTGTTTTGAGCCTTTATTGTCTTTAGGGCCCATTAGTTTATCTGAAGGAACACCATGGGCTTCTGAAAAATGTAGCGTTGGCCACAGTGCTGTAAATTAAAAATAAAGCTCATTTTAGTTAAGATTCATTTATACCAAATGAAATAACTGACAAGCTCTTTTTCTGACTGAATCCATATAACAACACAGTTGTGTTAATTATGTAGGGAATAAGCGATAAGAAAGCTAATTACAAGCATAGAAATATCTCTCCAAGTTCAGACAATATCATAACGAATGCCAAGGCACAGCAAAGCCACTGGAGTTCAGCTTCTCTTAAGTTTATCATTACTATTTTGACAAGATGATTTTCTTTGATTTTAAACTTTTTCTCTGAATTGTGAGCACAGCTCATGGGGCTGTAATGGCAATAACTGTTCCTCACAGAAACCTCCAATTTAATTGAATCAAGAGCCTTGAATATGAGCCAGGAGTTTTCTGTAAGATGTGAGGTGAGGCAGCCTGTAAGGATTTGATATGAGAGATAATATATTATTAATATCTGTAGATTTTAGTTCAGTTCCTGTAGTACTCTACATGGTTAATTTAAATTATATTTCATTAGACTTTGCCATAGGGAATAAAACATTGATTATTTGATTGTGTTAGAAATGTCATCTTAAAATACTTTAATGTCACCTCTATAAATTATTAAACAATTCTACAAATGGGAAAAAAAATGAAAATTACTTTTTTTAATATCAGAAAATCACTTATTTTGATCTCAGTTTAATTGCATTGCCACCATTCTAGAACCTTATCAGATGATAATTAATGGTCTGGGACAGAAAACTAAATATTCCTCAAAAAATGCTGTAAATCCTGAAATCAGCAGCGAGATTCTGACTGGCTTCAGTAGGAATCATAATTTCATTTTTTGTCAACCAAAGGATTAAAGAAAGGTTGGGTGGCTTCTTATATGCAATGCAGACCAGATGGCTCAGAACTAAATGCTATCATAATTCAGTGTTTGTAAGGAAAGGCACATCTATGGAAATGAAAAATTCAGGTTTGCCCTTCACCTGAGACCTTATCAGGGTTAGCACCCAAGAGAAGTGGACATTGCCGTTCTTGCTGCTTGTAGAGATCCCTTTAGGGAAGACATGATGTGCAGAGGCAGAGCTGCATGAATGACTTGGGCTGCCATTGCCATATTAATTTTGCAACCACCCATCATTCCTTACTCATCACAGACACTTATATACCCAGTACCTCCACAGTTGCTTATTTTTCCTCATTCTTTTAGTGAATTTATCCTCACAATACCTCTGTGAAGGATGTAAATAAAACTAATCATCATTTTACAGATTGGAAAGTAAAACACCACAATCTAACTAAGCCAAAAATACAAATACAGATTTGCTGCACTTGCCCTTCTGTTGTGGATCTATTATTCACTAAAAACTAACTCAAGAATCCTCCCCTCCCACATCAAAAACTCTGTTTATTTTAAATTCAATAACTCCCAGCATATACCTCCTTATCCTCAAGTCAGTGAAAGAAGAATGTTTTTCAGAAGCGCAGGCTCATCTCTTTCTTTGTCATGAGAACTACTTGTCTTCATTCACTGGGCATGGACCCATAAAGATAATACTGTCAGTCCAGAAATATTAGCACCTGTGGAAAAATAGGCACCTGTGGAGTTGTAGTAAACTTTGTAACACATGGGGGGGAAAGAAATTGCACAGCAGTGCGTGCAGAGGGGTGCCAGATTCGGTCAGTCACAACTGTCTTCATGTAAACCCCACCTGGTTTCAAGGCATGTGTGTGCTGGAACATGAAGCATTTACGTTGAATGGTAAACAGGGTATGGTTAAATGTTTGGAGAACTCCTGACAGATGCTGTGTTCCTGTTCCTTTTAGACAGCCAGTTACCAGGGCCCCCAAACATCGCCCTTTCGGCGTGCCAGGTGGATCTGCTGCAGGCTCCCTGCTCAGGAAGCAGCTGTGCAGCAGCCACGGTGACAGTGACAGCCGTGACAGACTTTGCTCAGGATGGGAACCGCGTCACCCTCATCAGAGCTGAGCCAGTCGGACGGAGGGATTTGCTTTGGAGGGCTCACACGCCCAGGGATGTGAAGGTCAGGTCCTAAAATAAGCTGGAAAATGTGTCAAATGTAAATGAGAGGCTTTTTAAATCTTTTTTTCTCCCTCAAAGAAAATACAATGCTGATAACCCTTAACCACACAACACGTTTGGGATGGTGTCATAAAATCACAGAACGGTCTCCATTGGAAAGGAACTTAAAGATCATCTCATTACAACCCTCCTGCCATGGGCAGGGACATCTTCCACTAGCCCAGGTTGCCCCAAGCCCCATCCATCCTGGCCTTGAACACTTCCAGGGATGGAGCAGCCACACTCTCTTAGGAAAATCTGTGCCAGTGTCTCACCACCCTCACAGTGAAGAATTTCTCCCCAATATCTAATCTAACCCTGCCCTCTGTCAGCAGAGAAAACCAAAACAGTTTCTTTATATACCAAGAAAATTAACAGGTGCTTTAGCAAATTTAGGCTTGATTATTAGTCAACACATCAGTAAGGCCAAGAGCTGGAACATAGATGTAAGCAGGCATGTTTCTGTACACTGGAAGAGGAGACAGGGAGAGTGTGGGTTAGGGAATTAGCACCTTTTCAAAAAGGAAGGAGGGGGAAAGATGAGGCTTTGGAGAACATTTTCTGAAAAAGCAGAGGAAAGACAGTGCCTCAGAAATGAGAGAGGAGAAGAGGGCTCAGCATTGCCACGTTCAGTGTGTCCCTGTGCTAGGAATCACCAGGACACCTTCAACAACGCACGTGGCTGCTCCATCTTTTCATTTATCCCTGTACAAAATGTGCAAAATAAAAATAATAAGAAGCAATCAGGGAGGCAAGCCACACTATCCCTGCAGAAAGCCTGGCTAAAGGAACATGGCAAGCAGGGCCCAGCCCCTTGTCTGTGAAGCTGTTTCAGGGCCTCAGCTGGGTGGTTTGAGAGCTGTAATCCCACCACCCCAGAGAAATAACCAGAGCGCAGATTTGACTAAGCTAAATTTCTCAGAGCAGTGGCACATCCAAGCTGGCATATTTTAAGTAACTGAAAACAAACCCCAAGTGAAATCCACAATTTCCCCACCCTAATTCTTATGAATTTGCTCAGGAAAGAATGACAATAAACTGGACCAAAAGAATTTTTGTCTTCAAAGGTAAAATGCCAAGTGTGGGACTGTAACCTTTCCTCTCCAGCACAGGCTTCTTTTGAACTTTTTAAGATTCTTAAATCAGAAATTGCAGCTAATTCAGCGGAATGCACTCACATACCCATATTTTTTTCTCAAAGTTAAAAATGCTTTCATTAAAATATGAAAATGTAGCAAGTGTGAAATTGAATTAATCAATTTTAATAATAAATTCCATTTATCTCAGTTAAAGCTTGATCTATGGAAACATAATAGACATTACCTTCCCTCCCCACCATTTTCCCTTTGCTGCTTTGCAGTTAATTAGAGGCTTTAATGTAACACAGTTCCTGCAACAAAGCAAGAAAAACCCCATGTATTAAAACCCACATAATCTTTAGTCCTTCTGGCTTGTTCAAATATTTTTGATTTATCTGAAAATTGAACAGAAATGGTGGGCAGAACATGCTGACACATTCAGATACCCAATAAAGAGGATTTCCTCAGCAAACTACACCTGCCTACAACCAGGAATTGCATCTTCTGCTGATATCATGCATGAAAGAGCAGAGCAGAAAGGACCACATGGATTTGTTTGGCTAAAGTTTTACGTAGGAAGTGTGAGGCGATGGAGAGAATGGGAAAATTCTCAGACACTTCTTCACTGTAGACCTGATACAAATTACCTCAGATCAAAAAGCTGCTCAAAGAGGTGTTCAGTTTTTCTTTACTCAAGACCATCACTCTACTAGTTTGGTGTGCCAGACACTGAGGGGGTATCTAAGAAGTGTTTCTCTGCCATGGCTAAGGGGCATTTTGAAACACAGGTGACGCATTGCCACAGGTGAGGAATGTTGTCATAAACCATTGTTCTATCTTCACCCTCTTATTCATGTATTTAATTTCACCTCTGCTGCCAAAAGTTAAGTTTTGCTTTGTCACTGAAAGATTGCACAGGGATAGAGCAGCCATTCCTCTTCCCCGCTCCGTGGATCCTGGTAGAACTAACTGAAGTGCACCTCTGGACTTCTCACGGGCAAAGAGAGAGCAAAGAATTAACAGCCATGTCCAAAAAAATCAGCCTGGCAGGATGGATAAGGGAAAACCATAGCACTCCATCACTCCCACCAGTAGTGACTGGGAGCTCTTCATATCACAAATCACTACACAGCCCAAAATTACATTTCTGAGCAATGGACAGCTGAGCATTCAGCCATTGGAAAACACCTTCTTGGGCAGATGTGGCAACGTGGGCCCAGCACTGCCTGAGATTCAGGTATTGCAGCTTCAAAGTCCTGTCTCTGGCTTTTGCAGGCTACTTGCAGGGTACCAACACTCTCACACCTTGTCTGAAACCCACCTAGTGCCCAAGTAACCAAGAGCTGAGGCAGATGATCTCTGTTGCTATAGTAGATCCTTTCCTCTCTTTATACATGTGCCTAAAGCAGGCAGCTCCAGCAGCCTGATTTGGGGCCTCATCACCAGTTTCTGACCAATAACCACATCAAATATATAAATCAGCCAATCAGACACTGTAACTGGAAATCTAAGGTCAGATTACGGACAGGTAGCTACTACTAAAACATGCTAATGCTACTTAATTACAGCATACCTTTTACCATACTTCAGGCATTAAAAGTTGTACAATTTAATGAGCGCTCTACTCTCCTGATAATTTCAGTGAATGATCTGCTTCTTAGCCAAAAGTTTTAATAAAAAAACTTCATATAGTTCATCAGAAAAAGAAAGACATTACATGAGGTGAAAAGGAGCACTTTGAACTCCCCTTATTGCATGTGATTAAACTCCATTCCTTGAAAGTGAAGCCTATTTTGTAACCAACCACAATCACGTTTGAGAAGTCAGATTGTAGTTTGTACTTAACCCATGAATCCTGTCCCTTATGTTTTGTGAGAAATAGTAATGAAGAAAAACTGCTGTGTAGACTGTATTCATTACACATTTCATTTTAACTAGGTCACAGTTCGAGACCTCCCAACAGGGAACTGCTACTCTTTCACTGATCCACATATTATCACATTTGATGGATGGTGAGTATTCTACTTTGAAATAATTTGGCTCAATTACTGCAGCTCTCAGTTTCTGGATGTGGCATGCATTTGGTTTTACATTAGAATATCAAAAGAGCGTTGTACTAATTTGCTTACATTGAGAAATGTCGTGCTTCGATAACATAAATGGTTTCCTTCCAGCTGTTTATACTCCTTTCAAGAAAAGGATTAAAAATGGATCCATCTTGGAGAAGAAATGGGTTTGAATCTGAATAATTTTTACAAGACAAAAGTCAGATTCCAAAATGTTCTTCAAACAGAACCACCACTAATGACTTTGAGGGGATGTTTACACCACATACCGTAGTGTGAATGACACCCCAGTGCCACACAAGTGAGCCATTGCATCCCTGGAGCGGCACAGCACACAGGGACAGCCTGGTCCTTCCCATCAGTTTACTAACACCTGATGTAAAGTCACTCATCCTCAGGATGTTCTTGATTTCTTCTACTTCTAGAGCTTGTTTTTATGCACAGCTGGAGTTGACAGTCCTAAACTTAACAAAAAAACCCCATATAGATGGACATACTGTCTCAGCTGAAAGATGTCCAGAAATGATAAATGCCAAATATCAAGGGAAAAGTGCAAAAGTAAAAGTTGTACATCCTGCTGTAGTGTCCAAATGCCCTTCTATATTATCCAGCAATAAGCTGCTTAAAGACTTACAGAGAGAAAGTGGTACCTTTGTGTTTGACAGCCTGAACTGTACAGAACTTTTCCTTGTTGAACTTCCCTAATCATTCATGGATCTAGTTATCCCAGCTAAATGACAACACAGAAAGTTTTTAAAGTTTGCATCTGGCAGGTTTGATCCATATTTCAGATCACATACCAGGTTTGTCATTCCACCTTTAACCTCCTAATGGCACAGATAATGACTTTAGGTGCACAGGGCCCACAGGGGCTCAGCAGGCATGATATTCCAGTCCTGATATCCTAATGTCCCAATTTCAGTCCAGCAGGCTCTGGAGGTGCATCTAAAGTGATGTCAAAGCTGAAGAAGTCTGTTGATGAAACGTGAGCAAGAAAGGCAGTGATCCCATTAAAAATTATACATCTGCCTCAAATAAAGATTTCACCTAAATTGGGTAGTCTGAGCTCAGATATTATCTCTGCACGTCTATGGCTTCCCAGTTTCCCTCCTGCTTTGCTGAACAGAATTTATAATGTGGTCAGGAACTTGTTTCATGCAAGTTTGGTTGCTTGAAATGTAGAAACTGCAGAAGAATTAGGAGAGATTCAAAGACATTCCCATGCTTCATGTATCTGCAATTATTTCAGCTCTGGGATATTAAACTAGATTGGAATATTATTTCAAATCTCTCTATACATTTATATTCTAAAATATTCCCTTTTGATTTAGGGCTAAGAATGGACAGTGATCTGCCAGATTGTTGTGTTTAGGAAGTAATAAATTACTGAAAAGTGCCTTTTGGAATGGGGACACCTTCTCAGCCATATAGCACATTTTTACATTACTTCTATGGGAAAAAAAAAAAGGCCTAAAGTGAAATGAAGTAATTTTACTTGAATAACTCATTTTTTAATCCTGTTATTGATAGCACACAAAAATGCTTCTAAGCAATTTATATTCTCTTTGAGCAGAGGGAGTTTGGAAAAGCTCGTCCCTTTGTGTCATCCTGACTCAGAGTCACAGAGACTTGAAAGAGAAAAATCCCAGGATTAACTTGGCCCCTTGATAACTGCAGGTTTCTTCCTTGTGGGCAGACCTTCATTACTGCTCTGTCCAGTGCAGCCTTAAATGAGCCAAGCTGATGGGGCTTCTGCCATCTCAATAACTAGGTTATTTCACTAAGATATATTACATCTTGATATTCAGCCAAGTTTCTTACCCATCATTTCACAGTCCCATTACTCCTACTTATATTCCCATTTATTATTGTAAATAATTTCTCTTTCAATTATTATAATGATTATGCTACCTTATTACACATCAGTTAAGCAACTTCTCTGTCTGCCTATCCAAAAAAAATGTTCATATGTTAGCAAATGATTTTATAGCTCTGTATTTAAGGAGTGGGGAGTGCTACTCCTGCTTCTGTCCTGATACAAAACTGTAACCTGAAGGTAGCGGTGAAGAGAAGGGAAAATATACAATGGGGAAAAGTAAGGATGAAATAAAAGCTATGAAAACAGAAAACTGAAGCCTGTACTTGTTTTCAGAGTTTAAATTAAAAGCATTAAAACCTAAAATTTTAACTTATTTAAAAATATTTATTTGAATAATTTTTTAACAGGTTTATTGGAAAATTGAAAAACAAAATTGAAAAATCAAAAGGCTGCTCTTTTTGCTAGCAAAATTTTCCTACTGAAACAGTCACTTTCAATGTACTTTGTAACTTCTATTGTGATGTTTTCAATGGCTCACATTACATCTGAGGTAGTTAGCTACTCATTAGACAACTCAAATACCTAACTCCCACTTCTTAATGACAACACTCCCCTTTGGTATTCTTCCTGCTAATATATGTCTGTAGAAATATTTATCTTGTAATCTTTTCATTCCTTTCACCAAAGGCAGTGACGGAAAATCAAAGAAGAATGTGTCATATTTTACAGCATAAGCACAATCAATTTGTGTATATTGGAGCGTAGATGTGAAATAGCGTTAATTATACCAGCTAAAATCCAGAGAGAGCACTTCCCTTTATAGCAAAGTACCTTCTAAATTAAACAAATGTGAAAGCCCGGTAAAGCAAAAGTATAGCCCTCATTACTAGTTATGGCACATTATAAATATAAAAGCTTTTCATGCCATAAATTGCAGATTCTTAAATATGAAGTACTAGCTTAAAACTAAACATGCAGAAAATCCTTTTAAGGCAAAGCAAAAAAGGAAATATTTCTTGATTGCTGACCTATATACATCATCCAGGTTATTTTGCATTTTACCTCAAAAAAAAAAAAAAAAGCTAAAAAGATTTTTCAGGTTTCTCAAGCATTTGTACTAATCCATCCATCAGTTTTGTCTTTGGGGTTATGGTGCCACTTCCTGCACTATGGAAAAATTTCTCAGCTTGCAGTTCTGGTTGGCTTTAGAGGCTTTCATCATACTAGCCCACAACTAAGTCCTGGCAGGCACTGGGTTTTTTGATAGCCTGTAGAAGTTTATATGTCCCCAAACATCCAGTGACTACTCAATGTAACCCAACAGCTTTGCTCCCTGAGAACAGCATGATGTGATCAGCGCTCTGAAACCAGAGAATGTCCTTCACCATTACCCAGAACTTCATAGGGTTAGGACTGCCCTAAAATAGTTCATACTAGCAAGGAAAGAGGGTGCCTGCAAGGACATGTCAACAAATCAAATAATTTAGTGGCAAAATTGTGGTGGAAAATCTTCAGGAGTGGTCACAGTAAATACTGGATTAATAAAAAGAAGAAGTGTAGCTTGCTGAAGAGGAAGTGCATGGTGTTAGTTAATCTAACACTACTAGTAGTAATTGTTTACATATGTTTATATTCCCTTCTGTCCTCCTCTTACCATTAATCAACAGAAATTGTTCCTATAGGATCTCACTTTCATGACCAAAGACTAAAGGGAGTTTTATAATTTGTAGATAAAGAGCACAAATTTAGTTTTGACTTCATGCCATGACAAGAACTTGCTGCACCCCTTAGAAAACAACCCAGCCACACAGCCAGGGAGGGAGGAACCCCTTCCCACCCAGCCCATCCATTGCTTCAGACTATTAGGGAAGCAGGATGGGGGAGGGCACTGTGGAGGGTGATTTAGACCCAAACAGAAGTGCCTGGTTCACAGAGAACACGCAGAACTCCTTTGTGCTCTAGTAAGTCTACCTCATGCTTTCAGTGCCAAAGGCAATTTCTCAAACGTTGTCCAAAGAATCATTATCACAATTACAGTTGTATAAACATCATAAGAGTGTACCTATGTTCAATTATCCATTCAACTCATTCAAAGGCAGCTGAAAGGTTTCATTTAGACTCAGAGCAGGTTCGTTATGTGCTGTGCAATCTGTGCCATGGCCTAATTGAAGGACTTGAAGAGACTTCCAGGAGGGCTGGATTGAGTACACTGTCAATGCTTAGTAAGCAGAAAATAGCTCCCATAATGCAATGGCATATATATGCATATGCAAATACAGTCTTATTTACCCAAGGGAGATGATTAATCTGGGTACAGCCATTCTGATGCCTTATTTTCCATCAGTCTCCCTAAACACCTTTCCTTCTAAGATGATGCTGTAGAAGGAAACTGTGGAAAGTTCTCAAAAAAAAAAAAAAAAATCCTCCCCCTTCTCTCTCTCCTTTGAAGATGTCCAAATGTAGTAAGTACTTGATGTTAAAAGAGATTATCTATTTTTTTTATATTGTCCTTGGTTCTGATCAATCTTAGCAGCAGCATCTGTGCAGTGTGCTTAGGATTTATGTACCTGATTAGAAAATAAGATGAGACAGAACCATTCAAAATCTTATCTCTTTATGGCCAACTTGACTAAGTTTTTCAAGATGAAAGATAAAGTCAGATGCCTTTTCTAGCAGGGAAAAGCCATTGAAGTTAAAATTCTTACTGTGTTTTATGTTACATAGTTTTCTATGGCTTTTATTCTGAAGAGAAATAAAATGTAGAAATATACATGCTAAAAAAGTCACTATTCTCAAGCTGTTTGTTCCTCTGTATATGAAACAGTAATGGCCTGAAAAATATTGATGTTTGTATGGCAGAGCTTAAAAATAATCCTGTTATTTAGCAGGGATATTTTATACATTCCTTTTTACATTTTTTTTTATTCTAGAAAAGAATAATGTTTATTATTATAAGCTTATATCTTAGTTTCCATATTACTTAATTTCATAAAAATTGTGTTTAAAACTAATTGCAGTGCCTTAAAAGAAAGGAGATTAATCCATTATTTTTAAAGATGTAAGTTGTTGGCTTGTAGAGAGAAAACTACAGACATATATATAAAGTATATGGCTGCTGTTTTCTTTTCTTTTTAGAATAAAATAGAAGTAAGAATAAAATAGAAGTAAGAATAAGAAAAGTTTGTGCAGTGAGAGCACAAACAGAAGAGGATCCTCTCCCATCTCCTGTAGTGGAAATCCCAGGGACTAAAGGTGGCCCATGCAGAGGGGAAGCACTTGCAAAGTTATTACAGTTATTCTGCTCCTGGCCCTACTCAGATGGAACAAGGACGCTTCTTACAGAAAAGAATGAAAGGCCTAAATTGTTCACCACGCTGCCTTGTGCCGATTGCTAATCCATTCAGTGAGAAAGTTGTGCTTACGAGGAAGGTGTTGAGGGAGAGGTAACAAATTCATTTTAGTAAGTTTTCAGTAGAATCCCAGATTTTCACAGTAAGCCTTTACCTAGCCTCAGCCAGACTTGTAAAAATTGGTGATTAATCACAGAAGAGGTTATTTGAGCACTGATTTTCCTTTCCTTGAAGAAGATCACGCTCTAAAGCATCTGGTTAGAACCCAAACATATTTATTAAGACCTGGAGGCAGGGACTTCTTCCCATTTGCTTTATATCAAATGTTTATCCTTTTTATCCATGCCCATTGCCATGGCAGCAGCTGGGAGACAGCTCCTGCTTTTCACTGGGATTCTTATGCACTTCCAGCCAATAACTGCGGCGGTGTTTCCCTTGGATACAGCGCTGGAGAAACGTTTCCCTGTGTGTGGATTTTCCCCTCCTCCAAGGCCAGCCGCCACCAGCTAATAACCAACACAGGTAGATGCTCAGAGTCTCTGAATCCTCCTTGTTTCTGTTTCTTTGTGGCTGTTTAGGCGCTACGATAACTACAAAATCGGCACCTTCCTTCTGAGCCGGAGCGTGTCGCGGGCATTTGAGGTGCACGTCCGGCAGTGGGACTGCGGAGGCCACCGCTCTGCCACTGCCTGCAACTGTGGTGTAGCTGCCCGGGAAGGGGGTGACACCGTGGTTCTGGACACCTGCAACGGCCACTTTCGGGAGAGCAGACCCCAGCTGACCATCAAAAGCACCGAGGCACCGCCACGCGTCAAAATCCTAAAGTCCTATGGAGGCCGAAAAATAACAGTACGTGGATGGCTGAGCACTCTTGTAAAAGTAACAGTAAATAGATGGTTGAGCACTCTTGTTGTTGCTGTGCCTTGAAAAAGTGGGTTTAATATTTCCAAATTATTAATAAAGTTGTGGCAAAAATATCTACCTGAAGCCATAAGAGGCCCTCAGCAAAACGCACCGCAAAACGAGGTGCAGGGAAGTAGCTGGTTAAAGTGTTAGTTTAAAAAACTGTAAAACCAAACAAAACAAATCAAACATCTCTGGAAATTTCTTGGAGATGTAGCAGAGCGCTAATAGTGTTACTTACTCTCTGCAGCACTGCAGCCAGCTCCCTGTTTGTTTATGCCAGGCACTACCCAACCGCATCACATAAAGCAAATTTCTTTGCAGAGCTTGCGATATAAATATTCAAGGAAACATCACAGGTAGCAGAATAATGGGGTTTTAGAGTGGAGCAGTAAGGCACTATTAGTCAGATCCAGATAGCCCCCAAAAGCTATGAAAATGTGCAGCATTTGGTGTAATGTAAAGCATTTGCCTAAAAAATATATGGCCACAACATACTTTGCATAAGTATTGCTTGTCCACACTAATCCAGTGAAATCACTGGAAGAATAAGAGCAGGCTGCTCCAGGGGTTTTGGTGAGGAGAAGAGCCAGAAATTATGGCCAAGAAGATAATTTTATCCTAGAGTTGTATCATCAAGATTTATTGCCATGGAATATTTGGATGAAGATCGGTCCACACTAGAGCCAGAATGATGCAGGGAGAGCCTGTGCTTGGCTCTCCTTGTGATCTCGCTTGGAATAGACCTCAGGAAGGTAGTAACTGAAAGTATGTTAATTATAGAATAGAGAAAAAGCAGGAATCAAGCTGTCATTTAATTTTGCAATATAATAACTGTTTTATTACTAGAATATTCTTAGCAAGGAAACCCGATTCTCACTTAGATCTGAGGAAAGTCTCAGGGAAACAAATCAGGACACAAATATGAATCCTGCTCTGATCTTAACAGGAATCGATAGGAACTGTGCAGCAGTGATCCCTGATCACACCACAGAGCATCCTGGTTTGCTCAGCAGTTACCCATCATCAGCTTCCTGCAGCACAGGAGTCAGCTCTTCCCTGGCTCCCACGACATTCAAGAAGAGTTTGAATGGGGTTAAGTCACATTTTTCTGTGCAAGGTGACAGCTTTCAGCAGCCAGTCACTATATATCTCTCAAAAAAGCTTCTTCGAAGCCTCAATGAGCCAAGTTAATTCCAGGTGGGATATGTTGCCTGGGGCAGCAGGAAAGGAAAGAGTTACAGCCCTCCAAACTCCTGAAATAAATCTACACCTGGAAATATTAATCCAGACAGCAGGGAGGGCTGAACAGCTCATGCAGTTCTGACTGCAAGGATTTTACACAGAGCCTTGTAGGAAATACTCCTCCCTGCAGTAAAGCATGTAATTAGAAGACACATGTTTATGTGAAGAAGGAAATCAAATCCTACCCAGCACTGCGTCAGCTGCAGTTCTCCTGCTCTACCTATTAAACCATCAGAAAAAAGTTAAACCCATTTGAGTTTTATGTTGGGGGATTATTGGGATTTTTTTTTATTCTTACCTTGGGAAGTGAAACATAGGTACAGCCAAAGCAGAGGGACAGCCAAGAACATCTGAGGTGTTCAAAGTACTGGTTTCATATGAAGACTTCCATTATTCCCCAAGACAAATGATTTTTTTTTTTTTTAAAAAGGATGCTTTAAATGATCTGATCAAAACACAGAGAGACTGATCCAAAGTTGTGTCCCTGGCTGCCATTGCACTCCATGGCACTTTGCTGCTCTGCTCATGGAGAGCTCCTCAAAAAGTATTTGCATGCTTGAAATGATGGCCAGGAAGCTAAAATGGGCAGCATTATTATTTAGTGGAGCTAATATGTAAACTCTAGATTCCAGCACAGCAATAAAAATATAAGCTTGTTGTTCCTTCATAGATATGAACAGATTTTGGTGGAGAGGAACTTATAAGGGACCAAAATATCCTCACAAAGAAAGAAAAGCAAAAGACATTATTTGCCTGAATAAATTACATTTAGGCAGAGGTCTATTAAAAAGCTAATAATTATTTTGAAATTATTATAATGAGATTTTACAATTCTAATGTATTTTTTAAGATTAACTGAAAACTTTTAATTTAGGATAAAAAGGAAATATTTAGGTTACTTATCAGGATAGTATGCTCCATGCTCCTGGCCCTGATAATTTTCAAATAATTTTTTTTTACCCATAAAAACAAAGCAAACAAACAAAAACACATTTCAGTTGAGCAGATATTTTCTTTTTGCTTTTTGTCTTTTTATTATTTGTCTAGTAAACCAATCTGAAAATCCATTATCCACACAGTTACTTCTTGTTTTGAACTTTGCCATTTTTTTTCTTTTAAAGGTCAGTGTAAGCCTACCACTAGTTCTTTAATGAGAAAATTGCTTTATCCACTTTAAAACACAATCATTTTCTGGGTAATCTGGCCTTGGAAAATGAAACAATTTTTCAGAGGGAAGAAAGCTGTTTTTCAAACTTGGCAGTTTATCTAAAGAAATTATTTCCCAGGCAAAGACACAAGGGTGGCCTTATTGTCATGGAAGTCACTTCAAAATTAGCCAGTAACTTACCAGTGGGAAAACTTCAATGGATACAATTATTAATTTAAAAAGAAAGTACTTGTGCAGTTTCATATTTATGTAATGCTATCATATATTAATACCACGGAATCTGAAAGCAAGATAAATAACAGCACAAATAAATATTTATAGTGTTCCTAAGTGAACTTAAATTACCTCCGCTATCTCTAACGTCCTGCTTTGATATTTTCATTTATGGAAAGAGACATTTTTTTATTGCGTGAAAAGCTTGGTAAGAGCTTCAATTCACTGTTGGTTGGGTTTTTTTTTTTCCTGCCTTTTCAGATCCTATTCCCTTCGGGAGCGTTTGTCCGAGCCGATGTGAGCGAGTGGGGAATGGGTGTGACAGTGAGGACGCCAGGCAGGGACTTCAACAGCACCCGGGGTTTGTGCGGCCTCTTTGACGGGATCAGCCACAACGACCTGAGCAATGTCCCCGAGGAAGACTTCATAGAGGAGTGGAGGTACAAAGCCAGAGAGGATCCCACCCAGGAGATGCTCTGAGCAGTGTTACAAACAGTCTTGATGGGTTTATTTCATTGCACGCTCCCCTAATGACCTGACAGAGAGATCTGTTTAACCTAGAGGAGAAGCCCGGAGACCCACTACCATCCCAACAGCACGGGGGCTTAATTTTCAGTCAGCACAATACACATCAGCACTCACTGAGAGAGAAGTTATATTCACAAGTGGTGTCCTGTTAACAGCTGTGTTGAGATCCCTCTCAGCTGTTAAAAAAAAAAAAAAGCAGTTCTCACCCACACTTGAAAATGTAGATAACTGACAATAGGGATTAATTAAGGGTTTGGTATTTCCCGTGTTCTTTTACTCCTGAACACTAATTACAATATGTGAGTATAGATTAAATGTTACATTTTGACAAAGTGTGGTAATATATGTACCATGCTAAAACTTAATATCTACTCTACTAATGATGACAGTGAGCTCTGAAAACTTGCAGTTTCTGAGACAGATGGTCTGGAACCAGAACCAGGAGTCTGGCTTTCTGACATATCCCTATCACTGTCCCTATCCCTGTCCTTAACCCTATCCCTATCCCACATTTTAATTCCCGTTGCTGAACTTTAAACATGCGTAATAGGTGGTTCCTAAAACACAAATGGGTTTGATTGTGGAGTCTTGTTTATGAATTATGTTTTGAAAATAAGGAAAAATAAGGCAAAACACTGTAACATACCATTTACTCTGTACATGGAAATGCAGCACAATCCTAGAGGAACAACGAATTTTTAGAACTCTTGCATTTCAGAAAATTATCACTTCTACCATAGTCTAGTCCTATTCAATGGGCCTAAGCAATGGCTATCTAATGTCTGTTTTGACCTGTCATTGCAAATTTTAATATTTAGAATTCAACAGCCATCACTAATATCCTAATAATGTGATAGAGCTTTCTCCTCAGAAGGCAGATGGACAAATAGCTTCATGCAAGAATCAACCAATAGCTCACTACCCCAAATGCGCTAACAAGTTCCTTAGGAGGACCTATTCTAATCAAATTTGTTGGAAGATCTGAAGCCAAGGCACAATATATAGGAATTTACCTACAAAGCACTGAGAAATTTTCTAGGGCTCAGCATATATGATGGAGATACTCCAGGGAAAGCAGGAAAAACTCCTGCTAAGTGAGAAGGGCAAGAGGGGTGATGAGTTTCATCTTGCAGTCCTCCCAAGGATGGATTCTCAAGCACCCTTTAACCAGAACCTGGTTAAAAAAACAAGGCAATGGAGAAACTAAGGCCGTCTCCAGAGGAGACTGGATCATTTTCTGATCCACCCACAGAGAAACGGTGTAGTAAAAAACAAAAGCTAGAGGGTGATTTTTCTGCTGCTGTTTTTGATTTTAAATAACCCTCAAAGTGTGTTAGGCTTTCTCCAGTACCTGAAGCTACTCTGAGTGCCCACCATCTGGTGCTTTCCCTGGCTCCCACCTCTCTCAAGCAGCTGCAGGGCTCTGAATGACACAGATCTGGTTTACGCATCAGCTTTCCAACACAACTTGTAAGCAATAAAACAACATTAGAGCTTCCCAGCCCCTAAACAGTGACAGGCAAAGAAGAACTGAGCTTTAAAGTATGTAGTTTAAGCAGGTGAAATAATTTTTCAAGCCATTTTTAAAATATACCAAGAAAGAAGCAGAAATACTATTAATTTTGGACTTTATAATATTATCCAGCTCAGTTTAAAAAACTTACCTTTAGTTTTTCCTTGATTGTAGTGGGTAGCTCAGAGGAATGATGGTGTGGTCATCTTATGCAGGGCACAGAAAGCCCATCCCAGCTCACTCAGGTGTTGTTGGTATGTTCATGGCTGGGAGGAAGGATGGGGTTTCCAGCGGCTCTATCGTTTCCACACCTTCCATTCCATCCTGTTGACCAGGGCTGACCAAAAGAAGACAATTGGTTTCACATAGGATTAACAAAGGATTTTTTTTCTCAACAAAATGGCAAGGCAAAAGAGTTTCATTGTACTGAAAATTTCATTTGTGTGTTAAGTTCCTGCCCTGATTCTGAAACAGTTAATTATTTATTTATGTATTTATTTATTAAGTAAATTATATTTACCATAGCCTCTAGTTTATGTAGTATTATACCAAAGGAAGAACTAATCTTGCTGCCTTGGTTTAGGGTTGCAATTAGGGAGGTTCAGGTGCAGGTAACCCCTCTATTTTAGGGCTGGAGGAATGGTGGGTGCAGGAAGACCACTCAGACACTAAAATGTGTTGTCCAAAGGGCTGATACCACCTCAATATCTAACATGTTTTATTTTCCTAGATTGTAGTAAAGCACAAAATAGCTTGTGCATTTCCATGAGCCTAAAAACCATCCTGTTGTCTCACTGTATTCTGCTGTGCCCAAACACTGGCAAAAAGGGTTTCATAGATATTTGTCCTCATCTTTCAGGAGGAGAAATTGGTTCATTTTGCCAGTGTCACTGAGAGGCTTTATTTAAAAGTTAGGGTTGTGTCAATGACTAAAATAGTGATATCACATATGTAATTTTCAATATATTTTGGAAAAATTGGATGAAGGAAATTACAGTTTCCAACAATAATATCTAATGTGTGGCTCCAATATGTTGACAAATGCTCTCACTTTCCTGAAACCTCAACATTCTGGCTGCAAGACAAAATTAATGCCAAAATAATTTAAATTTTTGGTGCTATTTCAAATTTGTCTGGAAATGACATGCTGCCAACTATTGGGACAGGAAACACATCCTTTTCTATGAAGCTCTAGGATTCCTCTTGTGCTGCACAAATAAGATCAATAAGAGATATGACATTTCTAAAGAATCTTTAATCATGACTGTTTATTCGAGCTGAACTCTCTAGAAGTTCATCCATCATTAAAGAGGGACTAAATTAAAAAGGAGGGGGGGGAGGAATCACCTCACTTTATATGATAGCCTAGCCCTCTGATCAATATAAAACTGCATTGTGTTGAAAGAAAAACTCAAAGAAAAATCCATTAAAAGACAAGAATGAAATGAAGTATGCATAAAATTAAAAAAAAATAAATAAAGAAAACCAAAACATTTAAAAGAAAAAAGTGATCCACATCTTAGAGGAAACACGTGGTAAGCAGAGCGCAGGCAGATAAAGATGGTTTTTGTAATACAGCACTTGAAACAAATATGGCTTTTTTGTGGTTCTCCAAGAGTTATCTGGGTCACACCAGGGACAAATCTAAAGCCTTATTTCATGTGTAATGCACAAAGGGTAACCTGCACCTCAAAGAAAGTTTTGAAAAGAGAAGTCAAGCAGTTAAGTAATGCTCCAGAAAAGCACTTAAGCATCTGTTACTAAAAAGTCCCCATATAGTGCTAAAAAACATACAGGACAACTGAAGAAGGGCAGTGCAAAAGTGACTAAAGAAAACAGAGATCAAACTTAAGCATTTTCTTAAGTACTTTTTTAAACTGGGAATTTATACATACCCCAGCCTCAGGGAAAGAAAGTTTACTTGGTATTATAAACTAATTTGCTGAAAGTTTTCCCCCTCTAATCCCTTTCTATTTTTAAATTAGAATACCTCCAGGGAAGAGTTTATTTGACAAGACTCCAGCACCTTCTGAGGGGAAGCAGAGGAGAAGTTACTGCAGATGTCAGAAGGGGAACACAAAGTCTATGCCTGTGGCAAACACTCTGAATGCCTTTCAGACTCCTTTCCCTGAGCCCTCTGGTTGCCATTATGATCATGTGGATTACACCTCTGCAATCCCATATCTGGATGTTACATCCGAGTTTGTCACTCACTCAGAAACAGAGTCTGTGTTAAGAAAAGATGAGAAACCACTGGCCAAGCCTTTGGAGCAAAGATATCTGCCTAAATCACTCCAAAAGAGAGGTAGCCCCAAGGTCCAATTAAAGCCCCTCACACACAATATATCCATGAATAACAACAATTCCATTAACTCTACCAAACCAAGAGGAGACCTAAGGAAAGTGAAAAGGCAAGATGACTATTATGAATACTCCTCCTTTCACCCATCGCGTGGCCCAACCCAGAGAGACTCGGAGAGGTTTGCATATTTTTTCCCTGAGGATTACTTTGAAGGGGTTCGGATGAAACTTCCACTGGCATGGCCCACTCCCAGTGGCCTGACTGCTGCCAAAGCTCGGGAGATTTGCCACCAGATTCTTGCAAATTCCACCATTGGCTTGGCTTGTAAAGACCTCCTCGGAAAACAGCTGGATGAGGCAATTGAAATATGCCTTTTAGACCTGCAGCTCAAAGATGACGTGGCTTGGGTGAGGGCGCTGATAGCCCTTTTGGAAAATGAATGTGAAAGGAGAGTGCTTGGCAACAGAAACAGAGTGTATCGTGTTGGGAACCAGCCACCTGCTTCCCTTGAAGAAATCCTCGCCGCCCTGCGGTGTCCTGCTCTCTGCAACAGCAAGGGACACTGCACGGAACTGGGCTGCCAGTGCTTTGAAGGCCACAGCTCCTATGACTGTAGCATTGCCAAAAGTAAGTAAAAAATTCTTTCCATGATACTGGAATTATTAGGTAGAACATCTGCACAGAGTTGTTTGCTCTTCAAACAGTGCTACCACGAAGGTATTAGATGAATTAGTAATCAGGTTCTGACCTTGAAGAGCCAATCAAAATATCTGGTTGGCTGGTCCTTCACTTTTTTTGGCTCAGTAACTTTTTAAAAATGGATTTTACAAGCCCCTTAGCAAATTGGTTTTGCAGAAGTGATTTTCTTTACATCTGATCTATCACCGGCATGCTGACAAGCAAGCTTCTGACAAAAAAGGGTGTCCTACTCACCTTGTGGTCAATATTCATGTTAACAGTGTATAGATACTTCTTCTTTTTTTCCTGATCAACAGGGAATAAAGTTTGAACATTGATTTCAAACACTGTACTAGTATCAAAATAAAATTAAAAGTGACAAAATGAGCAGGTAACCCTGCCAAAGCCATAAAATAGCTACAGGACATACTCAAACCTGCAGACCTGATTCTGCAAATATTTATGAATTACACTTACACAGGAGACCACCCCACTGGGTTTGTTTCTTCCTTATAGCTCAGCTTCTCAATGGACAAATCCAAGTCCAACATGAGGACTGACAGTGCTTTAAACTCAGCACGTGCATAAACGTGAGCGTTGATTTCAAGATGTGAACCCTTCCTCAGCAAACCCCGTAAGCTTATGCTTGAAGTTACAAAGAGGTGCTTAAGGCTCAGCCACACAGCTTAGTTCCTGCAGCTTAAGGAGTCACAGTACTTCAGCTAAACTGAGATGACAAGGTGTGCTCTTTTAACCCATGCCAAACGGGGTGGAAAGGGGTTTTTTCTACATTGCTCTGTATTTAGGGCAAGTAAAACTCATATCTGTGTCAGTCACTGTGGCTTAGCTGAGACATCCAGGTATCCACCCAGTCCCAGGAACTCAGTGGCACATCTGATACCCCAACACATTTATTAGCTGGGATGGAATTACCCATTTGCTTCACAATAAACATGTCTTCAGTGTTAGGGTTTTAAAGTGGCTAAAATATATCTTAATATTTGGGTTTTGTTAACGGCAGGCTAAAATTTTGCAGAATAATTTCCTAAATATGGAGGATTTCATTCTCTTTCACACAGGGGACAACTGACACCTGGGACTGAAGAGCAAGATAAGCAATTTATAAGTAATTTTCCAACATACAATTCAATGTTTAACTTCATCTCTCTGCGATACGGACAGGTTAGGGGGCTTGCCTGGGCCAAATTTTAAAATTTTATTTTGTTATGGCTGAAATCTCTCAGATTAGGGGAAAATAGCTTCAATATGACCTTTCAAGTAAAAGCTAATGGCACCTTGTCTTCTTGCTGTGACATCAAATATAAACACGGACAGAATACAGAGCACTGCCTGGGATTGCACAGAGAGGTGAGAACTGGAAAACAAACACACATCAGCTCTGGCAAACACCCTGTAAGCCATTACTACTCCCTGGTCTGACTGCTTTGTCTGTCTCTTGCTGCCTCAGCTTTGTACACTTTTAAGATTCAGCTGGAGAGGGTGCTGGGCCATCTTGCCTAGATCATGCTTTTCCAAGAGGTGTTGGAGCAGATGATCCTTGGGGTGTTTTCCAAGCTGGTACTGCACGATCCTATGATTCACTTTTCTCCAACTGAGGCAAATGTGGTAGCTGGTCTTTGCTTCAAATCATTTCTCTTTTGTGAGTCTGGCTTTTTAGAGCTCCCAGTACATCAACTTATTCCTTCCAGATTTCCAGTCACTAGCATCCTGCCCCTCCCTGGCAGCCTCCTGCTCCCTCCAGAGCCACCGACCTGGAAACCCGTTCCAGTGCTCCTGGGATCCCATAGGGTGTCCACTGGGTGAGAGCTGCTCAGAGGGGCTGAGTTTTTTAGCACAAGCACCTTCTTACTTAGTCTGGTCCCTGGGGAAAGGAAGTTTGGTGTGGGACCTGCAAAGGAGATGAACTGCTGCAATCAGGAAAGGATAAATTCCCCTTACCGTTTATGTTGCTCCATTTGCTGGGGGTGAGTGTGTCAGCATCATGGCAACACTAACATGGAACTGCTCCAGCAGTTTTCCAGCACAAACTCACACTAGACTGGTGAAAGACCAGAACATGCTGGGAGGGTCATAGTTCAGACAGCCACACTGGGTGGCTCCATACCAGATCCCAGCAGAGAGCAGGACCTGGCCACCACGTCCATCCTTGTAATACTGGCACAGAGACAACAGGATGGAAAAGCACCCGAAGTTCAAGCTCACTTTGAGCAAAATTGAGAATAAAAACCCAGAAAAATTAAACCAAAACCAAGGTAACACTTGTCATGCTTAATTTTCAGGATATTCTCCCTTGTCTTCGGTATAAATGCAGATAAATTAAGAGATAACTTCACATAAGAAGTTTGTTTCAGCATTAACTACGGAGAGGGAAAAGCACTGCCACAGTCTAGAGTGAATTGATGTGATAAACTGCAAAGAGCTCCATGTATTACAGACTATCTATTAATTCATTTATGAGTTATTTTGAATATTGTTTCTTTATATACAAAAATACAGAAGCTGTATATATATAAAGTTACCTGATCTTGTAGATGCAACGTAAAGCAGACCTATATATCCAGCCAGAGGTCAGACTCCCTACAAGGAGAAATAAAATCTTAGTTCTGGCACGCCAGTCTCTCTGACATTATAATACTTAGAAAAGGTCATCTAGATAATTTTGTACAGACAAGCAAGATAAGCATTAGTGTGAGCTTCACCTTTAGCTGTTCTTGATTTTTGGATTTTTTTCATAATATATCTAAAGATATTTGCCTGTTTTCACTTTTTGTAGGCTGAAATTTCTATACAGACAGCACAGAATAGAATTATTCAAATTGGAAAAGTCCTGGGAGACCATCGAGTCCAACCACTACCCCAGCACTGCCCTCTTCACCACTAAACCACGTCCCCAGGTGCCACATCTTGATGGTTTTTGAATGGTTACAGGGATGGTGACTCAGCCACTTCCCTGGACAGCCTGTGCCAGGTCCTGACCACACTTTTGGTGAAGAAATTTTTCCTAACATCCAATTTAAATCTCTCCTGGCACAACTAGAGGCTGTTTCCTCTTGTCCTATTGCTTGTTACTTGAGAGAAAAGACCGGTCTCCACCTGGTTACAATCTCCTTTCAGGCAGTTTTGGAGAGGGATAAGGTCTCCCCTGAGCCTCCTTTTCTCCAGGCTAAACACCCCCAGAGCTGTTTACATACATAACCCAGCATGGAGGGATGTGACACCTCTTTTCAGGGAAATGTAGAGTGGTATCACACAGCAACAATGCACCTCCTGAACAGCAGTTCAAAAGATTGGAAGCCCTCAGAACTGAAGTCCTGTTGACGTCATTAAAAAACAGGATTTCGCACCAGGAAAGGCTGGTAGAGATGAAGAATTAAGATCAATCTCAGAAATAAAGCTGCATGTTCCAACCAGAACAGCTTGAGCCCCCTTCCCTGGCAGTTCAGGCATCCTGACCTGGCTGGCAGCACCAGGCAATCAGCACTGTGCAAGCACAGGCAGGATAAGCCTTTGGGCTTTGTGACTAATAAGCAGGGGTTCTGTGGGAAGGGAAGAAATGGAGGAGAAATTAAGAATTGAATTAGGTTTCCACGGGACACATAAAACTGCTGCCTCTTCCGCTTTCTTTTAAAAAGACAGGACCGAAGAAACAGAGGGATATACGTTGATTTTGGAAATGCTGAAAGTTTTTAAGTGCCATTGTTAGGAAAAAGTTATTTTCCAGGAGAAGTTACACGAGTAATGAAGGAGAAGGTAACTCCTTTTGCTGGCTATATATATTCCCATCAATTCCAAAACAAATCTCCGTCTAATTTTCTCAGGCTGGAATTATAGATGTGAATTAAAACTCCCCCAAGATCAAGGAGGCCATCAACATAATTCAAATACCTTTCCCAAGGTCACCCAATCTCAGCTACGCTGCCAGTGCATAAGAATATATTCTGCAACTGGTTTTGACCAGCAAAAACACACACAAAAAGATGGCCATGCAGTTTTTTTATGGATTGGAATACAAGCCATAACATATTTGGAATAATTTAAAATGAAAACATGTATAAAGAGAGAAGATACAAAGTGTGGCTTGCAGACAGGCTTTCTCCTCTGCTCTGCCTTACTCCAACAAGAGCAGTCCAGGTGGCCAGAGCTATAATTACCCTCACATGAAAATCGCAATTTGGAGTTGAAAGGCACCTCTGAAATTTGGCAACGCTCCAGAAGCTTAGACTTTCTTAATGTTGCTTAACATTTCATAACCCCCACCCCCTCCAACACCTGTATAAGGTGCTTAAAATGTCATTACCACCTGTAATTAAAGGCAGAATCCAATTACAGCAGATAGCAAATCAGATTGGTGCTTACCATTTGTATATATTGACCATGTTGCTTATAAAAAAAAAAAATATCAGGACTAGTAAAGCACACATAGAGCAATGTAATATGCAGATTGTATGAAGCTCTAAAGAGCAATTACAAGATAAAACGTAATGAGGAATAATAGGGACAAATTAGTTTCAGTGAAGTAATGACACTTGAAGTTTAAATTTCTATGTGGAAAGTTCTGGGGGGAAAAAATAGCCAGCACAGAAACTAAAGTGAGTGAAAATGACAGTGAGAAGGTGAGAAGTTAACGCTTACCTACCTCACTTATGGGTATCCCATTTTGGTATCAATACATTTCTGTAACATTATTAAGAAGTGCTGTGAACCCAACTGCATTTTCAGAGCTGTGAACCACAACCACACAGGTCCCTCAGACCCATCTGCCACAGCAGTTATATTGATTACACCCTGGTATTTTTAGTTATCATATAGACCTGTCTGAATTCATCAAATTTCTTTGGGCTGAGTCTTGTTCATATGTTCTAATTACATAATATAAATCAAAGCACTAAATATTAAAAAAATATATAATGAGCAAAAGTATGGAGTCA